TTGCTAAATTAATATATGAAATTTTCTGTGCCCATGTTTAATCCACGTTTAAGTAGAAGCAGTAGGATCATGTAATTCATAGGGGGAGCTTGGGAAAGGTATAGGCAGATGTAAGGAAATTAATCATTAATGTGTGTATACTGACTAGTGATGTTGTTTTCCATAGAAATAATATAATTACCAATATGGATACCCCACTCTCCTGGATCCCAGGGTGCAACGGGGCCTGAGGTTGGCAAATCCTCACAATGTGATTGGCAAAAAAGTAATGATGGTCCAGGCTCTCAAGTTCAATCCAGTGGGCAGATTTATCGGAGCAAAATAGAAACAACGTTTCGGCCCACAACAGAATAGTTGCTCTGTGAGGTAATATTGTCGATATTGCTGCAGATTTCTGTTAGAAGTATTTGTTCTGCACAGTGCAAGCAAATTTAATAATATGCTTGCACTCTGTTTCCTTGCAACTTGTCTCTGGTGTCTCTATAAATGGATACTAGGAGACAAAAGGGCCAGGAAAGAGTATTGTGCATGTGTTTGGAGCCTGCTTGTGGTATTGCGTGTGTGTAGAGTGAGCTGATTGTGGTGTGGTATTGTGTAATAAGGTCGGTTTTAGTCGTGTTGTGTTTTTGGTGTAATGTAATGCATATGTGGCTAGGGGCTGTAGAGAATGTGTGTATAGGGGGTGTAGTAAGTGTGTGCATACAGGCTATAGTGTGTGTGTGTGTGTGTGTATAAGTGATGTGGTGTTTGTAGGGGTTGTAGAGAGTGTGTGTTTGGGGGTGTATTATGTGTTTGTTTACAATGAATCTAGTGTGTATTTTAGGAATGTAGTGTGTGTGTGTGTGTGTGTGTGTGTGTAGGTGGTGCAGTGTGTGTGTGTGTGTATTTATAGGAGTCTAGTGTGTATTTGAAGGACCCAGAATGTGTAGGAGATCTAGTGAGTATGTGTATATAACGGATTCAGAGTATATAAAGGGATCTAGTGTGTGTATATATGATCCAGAGTTGGGTAAGGGTTCTAATGTGTGTCTGGAACGTAATGTGTTTAGGAGTGCAGTATGTGTGTAAGGGGTGCTGTAGTGTGTGTGTATATATATATATATATATATAGATCTATGTTCGGAAGTATTGTGTGTGTGTGTTTGGTGCAGTATGTATGTGTGAAGGATGCTGTGTTTGGGGGGTGCTGTGTGTGAGGGTACTGTGTGTAAGGGTGCTGTGTGTGATGGGTGTGAGAGTGCTGTGTGTGAGGTTGCTATGTGTGAGAGTGCTGTGTGTGATGGGTGAGAGTGATGTGTGTGAGAGTGATGTGTGTGAGAGTGCAATGTGTGATGGGTGTGAGAGTGCTGTGTGTGATGGGTGTGAGAGTGCTATATGTGAGAGTGCTGTGGGTGGGGGGTGAGAGAGTGCTGTGTGTGAGGTTGCTATGTGTGAGAGTGCTGTGTGTGATGTGTGTGAGTGATGTGTGTGAGAGTGCTATGTGTGAGAGTGCAATGTGTGATGGGTGTGAGAGTGCTGTGTGTGATGGGTGTGAGAGTGCTATATGTGAGAGTGCTGTGAGAGTACTGTGTATGATGTGTGTGAGAGTGCTGTATGTGATGAGTGTGAGAGAGCTGTGTGTGATGTGTGTGAGAGTGCTGTGTGTGATAGTGCTGTGTGTGAATATTAGAAGGGATTGTGTGTGTGGGGGGTAAAACATAAGCAGGCATTATGTCACTCGCACTCGCACTCAGACACCATCCCGGTCTAGCCTCCGGGAGGAACCTGGCGGAGCTGCAAGATAGAGCTCCGCCGGGTCCTCTCCCTCCCCAGCCGCATGTCTGTCCAAGTGGGCCGGTGAGGGAGATCTTTGTAACAAGATGGCGTCTCCATCCAGAGTAAAATCCCGAGATGATGGTGACATCACACTTTGGAGGAAGTGCATTAGATAAGACACTTAACACTTAAACCAATGAAAGATGTACTTTCTATGTTATCTTATGTTTTGCATATGATGTATTTTGTGCTTTATAAGAGACTTGCCGCCCCTCTAAGTAAACGTTCCAAAGTTTTTCATTTACCTGAAACCTGTGTCTCAGTGTGATTTACTTCAGAGTGCACGCACCTTATTTCAAACAATCTGAACATGGGCAGATATTCAAGCAAACACTTGGTTTGGTCTAAAACAATTTGGCACCTAATGTGGGGCTCCAGGTTGTGACCCTTTTCCCAGTCAGCCGTCCTAGAAGACACTGGGGCAGACCTGCAGTGACGGGATGGAGCTTGATCAACTTTGAATATACAGTAATGACTGCCTCAGCACCTTGCCTATATATCTTGTCCCAAAGGCTCACGGGAGACTGAACTCGGATGAAGCACGAGGCAACTATATAGCTGATCGAGCCGCCAAAGACGGACAGAAGAGTGTCCACCGAAGAAATCCCCATATTCACTATGCAGACCTAACCTATAGACCTCAAGCTCCTGAAGGAACTACAAGCAGCTGCTGATCCTGAAGAAAAACAAAGCTGGAAACAGAAAGGGGCAACCCTTAAAGACGGGCTGTACTCCAACAATCTCAAGTTCTGTTTACCCAAGAGTATGTACTCAGCAGTGGTCCAGTGGGCCCATGGAACATCACACCTGTCCAAGACCCTCATGAGATTCCCTGATCAGCATATACTATGAAGCATCAGGAATTACCTCTCTGACAAACAGCTACTGCAAATCCTGCACCTTTTGCGCCAAGTGCAACCCAGGAAGAATGGGAAAAAAAAACCAAAGCATCTAGCCAAACCTCACTATCCCTTCCAAAGAATCCAAGTTGACCACATTCAAGTGTTCTCTTCCATTCCAGATCCAGAGTCTGATACAGGCACCCAACGACTGCTTCCTGGTGATTGGGTTCTGGTTAAGAAATTTGTGAGGAAATACACTCGTGAGCCAAGATATGATGGTGCCTTCCAAGTGCTCCTAGTCACAGCCACTTCTGTTAAATTGGCCAGGAAGAACACCTGGATACATGCTTCCCACTGCAAAAAGGTTCCAGCCCCAGAGGAGGTAGACTGTCCTAAACCATGATCTTCCTGTGCATCCTTTTGCTGCTAGGCCTGATAAGGGCCCAACAAGTTGCCATTACTAAAGATGATAATGTGTTTACATTTTGGTATAACTCTTCTAACACACAAGTGGCCACTTATGCATTTGACTATTGTGATATTGTCAGCTGTCCATTTCCACAATCATTGGTACAAACTGTATACAAGGATATACCCTGCATAAAAGACCCATACATATGTGTTACAGACGACTATTGGGGATACTCCCACCTCTGATGCTCGCCTCAAGATTTCTCAAGGGCTGCACCTGTGGAACTCGCTTCCCTCCTCCGTTAGATGCTCACCCAGTCTCCACTCCTTCAAAACATTGTTAAAACCCACTTCTTCATAAAAGCGTATCAATAAACTGTTAATAACTCCTGACTGATTCCTCTTCTGCAACTGTCACTAGTCTAATACTATCCTCACCTTTTGTGTCATTTTACCCCACTCCCTCTAGCATGTAAGCTCATTGAGCAGGGCCCTCAACCCCTCTGTTCCTGTGTGTCCGACTTGTCTGGTTACAACATGTCTGTTCATCCACCCATTGTAAAGCGCTGCGGAATTTGATGGCGCTATATAAATATCATAATAATAATAATAATAATAATAATAATAATATGACTGTAGTTCCTGGAGGGCGGCAGGTTGGAACACAGGGCCAGCCTGTGCCCTAGACAGATTGGACAGTAGTGGGGAATCCTTATTACACAGAATGACCTTACGAAAACTGGGAGGGGCGACTCCAATGAAACTTACCGTAAACATTGAAAATCCTAGCCCCGGCGATGCTGGCCAGTATGTAATGGGGATGTACTGGAGAGGAGGGGGGCTCTTATAATAAACAGGGAAGTTTCTATCTCCAAGATATGTATCAATCACCTGAGTGGGTAGCTTCCAGACATGTGGGGATTACTAACCCACTAAAACCCCACTTTCAGACCTTTAGGGACATGGTAGCCATAGCAAACCCCACATATGAAGACACTATGGCTACAGAGACAGGATTCTCTGACACTAACCTATGGCTTGAGTGGATGAGATATAATGCTTACAAACACAATAGAACTAACTGCTATGTATGTGGAGGAGCAAGACCCCCACTAATCCTACCCCCTGACATAGAAGTGTGTTTTCTGAGTCTCTTCACTAACTGTAAGACTAACCGATCAGTGTGCTAATCATAGAAAAAGGAGTATCCAATTATGACTAAGAACCCCAAACCAGATGAGGTTATTACAATCTATCCAGGGAACTATACTTGTTATGGTATATATGGAGTTATAGCAAGGTTTCTGGGTAATTTCATCGGTAAATATTGTGCCACGTATAGCAAAGTTCCAGCTGCCTTACTGCAAAATCAGGTTAAATCCCTGGGGGACATATATTGGTTATGTCGGGATATGCAGCTCAGGACAAGGTAGGAAGGCTTATGGTGGGGGGAATGTACCCTAGCCAAAGTAATTATGCCCATACACAATTTATCTGACAGCCACCAATATGCACTTGACAAATTATATTCACATATCAGAACAAGAAGAGACACCCCTGTAAAAGGCAGTTTCGACCCCCATGTGTATAGAGATGCCATTGGAGTGCCAAGGGGGGTGCCAAATGAATTCAAGGCAAGAGACAAAGTTTCTGTAGGATTTGAATCCATTCTCCCAATCATTACTGCCAATAAGAATCTAAATTGGATTAATTATATCTATTATAACCAACAACGGTTTGTAAATTATACAAGAGATGCCCTCCAGGGGATGGCTGAGCAACTACAGGCCACATCCCAGATGACTTTCCAGAATAGAATGGCCCTAGACATGATCCTAGTGGAAAAAAGAGGAGTATGAAAAAATACTCCCTGACACCATGACATGTTGCACCTACATTCCAGACAACACAGGCCCTAATGGCAAAGTAACCCTGGCACTAGAGAAATTAGAGAGTCTCTGAATTAAAAAAGAACTCTGGGGTCACAGATCCACGGGAAAGATGGTTTGGATGGATGAGTGGTTGGCAGCAAGTTCTGGCTCAGATAGGTGTGGCAGTCCTGGTAATCTTGATTATTCTTGCTCTCATTGTCTGTTGTGTTGTCTGTGTTAAGAAATGTTTACAGAAAACAGCAGATCAGGCCACACCAACTTTCATTCATCAAGAGATTTATGAGGAGGATTATGATAAACCCTATGCCCCGTTGCAGTCCCTCCCCACCAATAACAAAGTTACTTCATTTTAGGGATAGTAGGGATAACGTCTGTCTTTACAGGCAAAGTCTGTAGCGCGGGGGGGAGGGGAGTGGACAAACCACTGCTCGTCTTATGCGCAGCACTAAAAGAGTTCCGAGGCCTGTTGGATAGATGAGCTGAAGACTCTGAGTGACAGCTTTTAGGGACAGAAATAGCTGCTAGAAACTATTGTTAGTAAATAGTCATTTTAAGGGGGAGACTGTTATGGATAGAAATTAATGTAGGTAAAATATCTATTTACTATGTATACCTGTATTCAATAGTTACTCAAAATGGCTGCTAAAGCACCCCCTCCCATCGACCAAACACCTCGTGTAACAAGATAACGTCGCCATCCGGAGTAAAATACCGAGATGATGGTGACATCACACTTTGGAGGAAGTGCATTTGATAAGACACTTAACACTTAACCAATTAAAGATGTACTTTCTATGTTCTCTCGTGTTTTGCATTTGATGTATTTTGTGCTTTATAAGGAGCTTGCCGTCCCTCTAAGTAAACATTCCAAAGTTTTTCATTTACCTGAAACCTGTGTCTCAGTGTGATTTACTTCAGCGTTCATGCACCTTATTTCAAACAATCTGAACAGGGGCAGATATTCAAGCAAACGCTTGGTTTGGTCTAAAACAAGCTGGCCACAATTCCCTGTGTTGTTATTTTTATTTCCTAAAGCTGGCTGCCATTCCCTATATTGTTATTATTATTACATCCTGTAGCTGGCACCATTCCCTATGTTCAGTTGTTATTACATACTATAGCTGGCACCATTCTCTGTGTTCAGTTGTTATTACATACTATAGCTGGCACCATTCCCTGTGTTCAGTTGTTATTACATACTATAGCTGGCACCATTCCCTGTGTTCAGTTGTTATTACATACTATAGCTGGGCATCATTCCCTGTGTTCAGTTGTTATTACATACTATAGCTGGGCATCATTCCCTGTGTTCAGTTGTTATTACGTACTATAGCTGGGCATCATTCCCTGTGTTCAGTTGTTATTACGTACTATAACTGGCACCATTCCCTGTGTTCAGTTGTTATTACGTACTATAGCTGGCACCATTCCCTGTGTTCAGTTGTTATTACATACTATAGCTGGGCACCATTCCCTGTGTTCAGTTGTTATTACATACTATAGCTGGGCATCATTCCCTGTGTTCAGTTGTTATTACATACTATAGCTGGCACCATTCCCTGTGTTCAGTTGTTATTACATACTATAGCTGGCACCATTCCCTGAGTTCAATTGTTATTACATACTATAGCTGGCACCATTCCCTGTGTTCAGTTGTTATTACATACTATAGCTGGCACCATTCCCTGTGTTCAGTTGTTATTACATACTATAGCTGGCACCATTCCCTGTGTTCAGTTGTTATTACATACTATAGCTGGGCATCATTCCCTGTGTTCAGTTGTTATTACATACTATAGCTGGGCATCATTCCCTGTGTTCAGTTGTTATTACGTACTATAGCTGGGCATCATTCCCTGTGTTCAGTTGTTATTACGTACTATAACTGGCACCATTCCCTGTGTTCAGTTGTTATTACATACTATACCTGGCACCATTCCCTGTGTTCAGTTGTTATTACATACTATAGCTGGGCACCATTCCCTGTGTTCAGTTGTTATTACATACTATAGCTGGGCATCATTCCCTGTGTTCAGTTGTTATTACATACTATAGCTGGCACCATTCCCTGTGTTCAGTTGTTATTACATACTGTAGCTGGCACCATTCCCTGTGTTCAGTTGTTATTACATACTATAGCTGGCCCCATTCCCTGTGTTCAGTTGTTATTACATACTATAGCTGGCACCATTCCCTGTGTTCAGTTGTTATTACATACTATAGCTGGCCCCATTCCCTGTGTTCAGTTGTTATTACATACTATAGCTGGCACCATTCCATGTGTTCAGTTGTTATTACATACTATAGCTGGCCCCATTCCCTGTGTTCAGTTGTTATTACATACTATAGCTGGCAGCCATTCCCTGTGTTCAGTAGTTATTATTACACCCCATAGCTGGCAGCCATTCCCTGTGTTCAGTTATTATTATTACACCCCATAGCTTGCAGCCATTCCCTGTGTTCAGTAGTTATTATTACACCCCATAGCTGGCCCTATTCCCTGTGTTCAGTAGTTATTATTACACCCCATAGCTGGCCCTATTCCCTGTGTTCAGTAGTTATTATTCCACCCCATAGCTGGCAGCCATTCCCTGTGTTCAGTAGTTATTATTACACCCCATAGCTGGCAGCCATTCCCTGTGTTCAGTAGTTATTATTACACCCCATAGCTGGCAGCCATTCCCTGTGTTCAGTTATTATTACACCCCATAGCTGGCAGCCATTCCCTGTGTTCAGTAGTTATTATTACACCCCATAGCTGGCCCCATTCCCTGTGTTCAGTAGTTATTATTACACCCCATAGCTGGCCCCATTCCCTGTGTTCAGTAGTTATTATTACACCCCATAGCTGGCAGCCATTCCCTGTGTTCAGTAGTTATTACACCCCATAGCTGGCCCTATTCCCTGTGTTCAGTAGTTATTATTACACCCCATAGCTGGCAGCCATTCCCTGTGTTCAGTAGTTATTATTACACCCCATAGCTGGCAGCCATTCCCTGTGTTCAGTAGTTATTATTACACCCCATAGCTGGCAGCCATTCCCTGTGTTCAGTAGTTATTATTACACCCCATAGCTGGCCCCATTCCCTGTGTTCAGTAGTTATTATTACACCCCATAGCTGGCCCCATTCCCTGTGTTCAGTAGTTATTATTACACCCCATAGCTGGCCTCATTCCCTGTGTTCAGTAGTTATTATTACACCCCATAGCTGGCCCCATTCCCTGTGTTCAGTAGTTATTATTACACCCCATAGCTGGCCGCCATTCCCTGTGTTCAGTAGTTATTATTACACCCCATAGCTGGCCCCATTCCCTGTGTTCAGTAGTTATTATTACACCCCATAGCTGGCCCTATTCCCTGTGTTCAGTAGTTATTATTACACCCCATAGCTGGCCCCATTCCCTGTGTTCAGTAGTTATTATTACACCCCATAGCTGGCAGCCATTCCCTGTGTTCAGTTATTATTACACCCCATAGCAGGCAGCCATTCCCTGTGTTCAGTAGTTATTATTACACCCCATAGCTGGCAGCTATTCCCTGTGTTCAGTAGTTATTATTACACCCCATAGCTGGCCCCATTCCCTGTGTTTAGTAGTTATTATTACACCCCATAGCTGGCAGCCATTCCCTGTGTTCAGTAGTTATTATTACACCCCATAGCTGGCCCCATTCCCTGTGTTCAGTAGTTATTATTACACTCCATAGCTGGCCCCATTCCCTGTGTTCAGTAGTTATTATTACACCCCATAGCTGGCAGCCATTCCCTGTGTTCAGTTATTATTACACCCCATAGCTGGCAGCCATTCCCTGTGTTCAGTAGTTATTATTACACCCCATAGCTGGCAGCTATTCCCTGTGTTCAGTAGTTATTAATACACCCCATAGCTGGCAGCTATTCCCTGTGTTCAGTAGTTATTATTACACCCCATAGCTGGCCCCATTCCCTGTGTTTAGTAGTTATTATTACACCCCATAGCTGGCAGCCATTCCTGTGTTCAGTAGTTGGCTATTACAATCTCATAGCTGGCAGCCATTCCCTGTGTTCAGTAGTTATTATTACACCCCATAGCTGGCAGCCATTCCCTGTGTTCAGTTATTATTATTACACCCCATAGCTTGCAGCCATTCCCTGTGTTCAGTAGTTATTATTACACCCCATAGCTGGCCCTATTCCCTGTGTTCAGTAGTTATTATTACACCCCATAGCTGGCCCTATTCCCTGTGTTCAGTAGTTATTATTCCACCCCATAGCTGGCAGCCATTCCCTGTGTTCAGTAGTTATTATTACACCCCATAGCTGGCAGCCATTCCCTGTGTTCAGTAGTTATTATTACACCCCATAGCTGGCAGCCATTCCCTGTGTTCAGTTATTATTACACCCCATAGCTGGCAGCCATTCCCTGTGTTCAGTAGTTATTATTACACCCCATAGCTGGCCCCATTCCCTGTGTTCAGTAGTTATTATTACACCCCATAGCTGGCCCCATTCCCTGTGTTCAGTAGTTATTATTACACCCCATAGCTGGCAGCCATTCCCTGTGTTCAGTAGTTATTACACCCCATAGCTGGCCCTATTCCCTGTGTTCAGTAGTTATTATTACACCCCATAGCTGGCAGCCATTCCCTGTGTTCAGTAGTTATTATTACACCCCATAGCTGGCAGCCATTCCCTGTGTTCAGTAGTTATTATTACACCCCATAGCTGGCAGCCATTCCCTGTGTTCAGTAGTTATTATTACACCCCATAGCTGGCCCCATTCCCTGTGTTCAGTAGTTATTATTACACCCCATAGCTGGCCCCATTCCCTGTGTTCAGTAGTTATTATTACACCCCATAGCTGGCCTCATTCCCTGTGTTCAGTAGTTATTATTACACCCCATAGCTGGCCCCATTCCCTGTGTTCAGTAGTTATTATTACACCCCATAGCTGGCCGCCATTCCCTGTGTTCAGTAGTTATTATTACACCCCATAGCTGGCCCCATTCCCTGTGTTCAGTAGTTACATACACCCCATAGCTGGCCCCATTCCCTGTGTTCAGTAGTTATTACACCCCATAGCTGGCCCCATTCCTGTGTGTTCAGTAGTTATATTACACTCTGCTAGCTGGCCCATTCCTGTGTGTTCAGTAGTTATTATTACACTCATAGCTGGCAGCCATTCCTCTGTGTTCACAGTTATTACACCTCAGCTGGGCAGCCATTCCCTGTGTTCGTAGTTATATTACACCCCATAGCTGGCAGCTATTCCCTGTGTGTTCAGTAGTTACATACACCCTATAGCTGGCAGCTATTCCCTGTGTTCAGTAGTTATTATTACACCCCATAGCTGGCCCCATTCCCTGTGTTTAGTAGTTATTATTACACCCCATAGCTGGCAGCCATTCCCTGTGTTCAGTAGTTATTATTACACCCCATAGCTGGCCCCATTACCTGTGTTTAGTACTTATTATTACACCCCATAGCTGGCAGCCATTCCCTGTGTTCAGTAGTTATTATTACACCCCATAGCTGGCCCCATTCCCTGTGTTCAGTAGTTATTATTACACCCCATAGCTGGCCCCATTCCCTGTGTTCAGTAGTTATTATTACACCCCATAGCTGGCCCTATTCCCTGTGTTCAGCAGTTATTATTACACCCCATAGCTGGCCCCATTCCCTGTGTTCAGTAGTTATTATTACACCCCATAGCTGGCAGCCATTCCCTGTGTTCAGTAGTTACATACACCTCTATAGCTGGCAGCCATTCCCTGTGTTCAGTTATTATTACACTCCCATAGCTGCAGCCATTCCCTGTGTTCAGTAGTTATTATTACACCCTACAGCTGGCCCCATTCTGTGTTCAGTAGTTATTACACCCCATAGCTGGCCCTATTCCCTGTGTGTTCAGTTATTATTACACCCCATAGCTGGCAGCCATTCCCTGTGTTCAGTAGTTATTATACCCCATAGCTGGCCCCATTCCCTGTGTTTAGCAGTTATTATTACACTCTATAGCTGGCAGCCATTCCCTGTGTTCAGTAGTTATTACACCTCATAGCTGGCAGCCATTCCCTGTGTTCAGTTATTATTATTACACCCCATAGCTGGCAGCCATTCCCTGTGTTCAGTAGTTATTATTACACCCCATAGCTGGCAGCCATTCCCTGTGTTCAGTTATTATTATTACACCCCATAGCTTGCAGCCATTCCCTGTGTTCAGTAGTTATTATTACACCCCATAGCTGGCCCCATTCCCTGTGTTCAGTAGTTATTATTACACCCCATAGCTGGCAGCCATTCCCCGTGTTCATTAGTTATTATTACACCCCATAGCTGGCCCCATTCCCTGTGTTCAGTAGTTATTACACCCCATAGCTGGCAGCCATTCCCTGTGTTCAGTAATTATTATTACACCCCATAGCCGGCAGCCATTCCCTGTGTTCAGTTGTTATTATTACACCCCATAGCAGGCAGCCATTCCCTGTGTTCAGTAGTTATTATTACACCCCATAGCTGGCCCCATTCCCTGTGTTCAGTAGTTATTATTACACCCCATAGCTGGCAGCCATTCCCTGTGTTCAGTAGTTATTATTACACCCCATAGCTGGCCTTATTCCCTGTGTTCAGTAGTTATTATTACACCCCATAGCTGGCCCCATTCCCTGTGTTCAGTAGTTATTATTACACCCCATAGCTGGCCCTATTCCCTGTGTTCAGTAGTTATTATTACACCCCATAGCTGGCAGCCATTCCCTGTGTTTAGTAGTTATTATTACACCCCATAGCTGGCCCCATTCCCTGTGTTTAGTAGTTATTATTACACCCCATAGCTTGCCCTATTCCCTGTGTTCAGTAGTTATTATTACACCCCATAGCTGGCCCCATTCCCTGTGTTCAGTAGTTATTATTACACCCCATAGCTGGCAGCCATTCCCTGTGTCCAGTAGTTATTATTACACCCCATAGCTGGCCCCATTCCCTGTGTTCAGTAGTTATTATTACACCCCATAGCTGGCCCTATTCCCTGTGTTCAGTAGTTATTATTACACCCCATAGCTGGCCCCATTCCCTGTGTTCAGTAGTTATTATTACACCCCATAGCTGGCAGCCATTCCCTGTGTGTCTAGTGTGCTGGCTATTACACCCCATAGCTGGCCCCATTCCCTGTGTTCAGTAGTTATTGTTACACCCCATAGCTGGCAGCCATTCCCTGTGTTCAGTAGTTATTATTACACCCCATAGCTGGCCCTATTCCCTGTGTTCAGTAGTTATTATTACACCCCATAGCTGGCAGCCATTCCCTGTGTTCAGTAGTTATTATTACACCCCATAGCTGGCCCCATTCCCTGTGTTCAGTAGTTATTATTACACCCCATAGCTGGCCCTATTCCCTGTGTTCAGTAGTTATTATTACACCCCATAGCTGGCCCCATTCCCTGTGTTCAGTAGTTATTGTTACACCCCATAGCTGGCAGCCATTCCCTGTGTTCAGTAGTTATTATTACACCCCATAGCTGGCAGCCATTCCCTGTGTTCAGTAGTTATTATTACACCCCATAGCTGGCCCTATTCCCTGTGTTCAGTAGTTATTATTACACCCCATAGCAGGCAGCCATTCCCTGTGTTCAGTAGTTATTATTACACCCCATAGCTGGCCCCATTCCCTGTGTTCAGTAGTTATTGTTACACCCCATAGCTGGCAGCCATTCCCTGTGTTCAGTAGTTATTATTACACCCCATAGCTGGCAGCCATTCCCTGTGTTCAGTAGTTATTATTACACCTCATAGCTGGCAGCCATTCCCTGTGTTCAGTAGTTATTATTACACCCCATAGCTGGCCCCATTCCCTGTGTTCAGTAGTTATTATTACACCCCATAGCTGGCAGCCATTCCCTATGTTCAGTAATTATTATTACACCCCATAGCCGGCAGCCATTCCCTGTGTTCAGTAGTTATTATTACACCCCATAGCTGGCAGCCATTCCCTGTGTTCAGTTGTTATTATTACACCCCATAGCAGGCAGCCATTCCCTGTGTTCAGTAGTTATTATTACACCCCATAGCTGGCAGCTATTCCCTGTATTCAGTAGTTATTATTACACCCCATAGCTGGCCCTATTCCCTGTGTTCAGTAGTTATTATTACACCCCATAGCTGGCCCTATTCCCTGTATTCAGTAGTTATTATTACACCCCATAGCTGGCCCTATTCCCTGTGTTCAGTAGTTATTATTACACCCCATAGCTGGCAGCCATTCCCCGTGTTCATTAGTTATTATTACACCCCATAGCTGGCCCCATTCCCTGTGTTCAGTAGTTATTACACCCCATAGCTGGCAGCCATTCCCTGTGTTCAGTAATTATTATTACACCCCATAGCCGGCAGCCATTCCCTGTGTTCAGTTGTTATTATTACACCCCATAGCAGGCAGCCATTCCCTGTGTTCAGTAGTTATTATTACACCCCATAGCTGGCCCCATTCCCTGTGTTCAGTAGTTATTATTACACCCCATAGCTGGCAGCCATTCCCTGTGTTCAGTAGTTATTATTACACCCCATAGCTGGCCCTATTCCCTGTGTTCAGTAGTTATTATTACACCCCATAGCTGGCCCCATTCCCTGTGTTCAGTAGTTATTATTACACCCCATAGCTGGCAGCCATTCCCTGTGTTCAGTAGTTATTATTACACCCCATAGCTGGCAGCCATTCCCTGTGTTCAGTAGTTATTATTACACCCCATAGCTGGCAGCCATTCCCTGTGTTCAGTAGTTATTATTACACCCCATAGCTGGCCCCATTCCCTGTGTTCAGTAGTTATTGTTACACCCCATAGCTGGCAGCCATTCCCTGTGTTCAGTAGTTATTATTACACCCCATAGCTGGCAGCCATTCCCTGTGTTCAGTAGTTATTATTACACCCCATAGCCGGCAGCCATTCCCTGTGTTCAGTAGTTATTATTACACCCCATAGCCGGCAGCCATTCCCTGTGTTCAGTAGTTATTATTATTATTACCCTCTCCCTCTCTCCCTCTCTCCCAGCACGCAGGACATGCAGGAAGCGCAGGATTCCATAGAACATGTGACGTTCCACACGCCCCGCCCCCTTAGAGCGTAGTACGTGGCCCTCGCCGTGCTGCCTGGAAACCCCGTGCTCGCAGTGAGGGAGCCGCGGTCAGTGCGCCATTAGCTGCCCTCCGGAGCTGTGTGTGAGGATTACCGTGCCGGACACCTGGACCCTCCGCAGCCAGCACCCGGAACCCTCCCCGGACACCGGCCTGACGACGGGACGGACCGACCCCGACTGACCGCCCTGTGTGGGCTCGGAACCAACGCCTAGGCCTCAGCCGCCCTTTGTGCCCACCCCGGGCCCCGCTCGGAGCCGCAGGACTGGACTGTGTGACACCGCACACGGACTGAGTTACCGGAACACACGGACTTGGACTGAGTGCTCTGGGACATAGCTCGGCCCGCGGGCCTTGGAACTGTTGGACAGTTGTGTCATTGGAAGACTCAGCCATTCTGGGACTTACTATTTAACCTCCTTGTGAAGACCGTGGTGTGTGTGTAAGGGGTGGGGGGAGTGTTGGGTTGGGGGCCCCACTGAGGGGCCCCCCGCCCCCTTTATTTCTGTGTCGTGCCCGTCCTAGGCCTTGGTGTGCTGTGAGTGTGTGTGTGTGTGTGTGTGTGTGTGTGTGCTGGCCATGTGTGAGATCTGGTCTCTCTGTCCCTGTTCTGTCTGAGCCCTTTCCATTATTTAGACTACTGCACCCCCATACCCCCCAATAACCAGCTAACATGTCGTGTGTGCATTACAAGTTTTCCTCCAAACTCAACTATGATACGGTGACCTTTGATGGCCTGCACATCTCCTTGTGCGACCTCAAGAAGCAGATCATGGGGAGAGAGAGGCTGAAGGCTGCTGACTGCGATCTGCAGATCACCAATGCTCAAACACAGGAAGGTAAGGAGCCTCCAACACTTGCTATGGGCGAGGAGGGTTAAGCAATCATTGGCACTCCCCAAACTGCTGTGTGTTATGTTTCCCATTGTGTGCAATGGGGCCCAGGCTTTAGGCCAGGAGTAGGCAACCTTCCGCACTCCAGATGTGAACTACATTTCTCCTGATGCTTTGTCAGCATTACCACTGCAAGAGCATTGTGGGAGATGTAGCCCACAATTTGTATAGTGCCAAAGATTGCCAACCCGTGCTGTGGGCCTTGAAACCATTATTGTTGACTGCTTTTTCATTTTAAGGCACTAAGATGTCTGGTCAGCCTGAGGTGCCTCTGGGCTACAGATGGGTACACTTTGCTGGTCCAGTTGTCTTCAGTTTCATTTGTAACATTTGAACTGCAAGCAGCCATTCATGTCTCTGTTTTATCATTTGTAATATTGAGATGACGAATGTTTCTGCTACTGCTGTGTAGTCTCTTACTATAGTGTTGGGAGCAAGGAGCCTATTCATAATTTGCTCATGGTCTACTACAATAAGTTTGATTGGAAAACATGGGAGGGGGGAGGGAGTAATGTTAACCTTATACTTTTAGCATTTAAACATGTTTTATCGTCATGAACAAAATAACAGGAGAGCAACATTATTTGAGTGTTATCTTTGATGTGAAAATTCAGGCAGTTCCTAGGTTGATTGCCTCACGGTCTATTGTATACATTGCATGTTATATAGTGTTTATCTTATTTCACTAGTAAACTGGTTTGGGCATTACTTTTATCAGCTAAATATATTTGCACCAATACATGCAGGCTAAAAGACTCCCCTCTGATAAGTTAATGGTTTGTCTGGCATTAGAACTCCTGTGGGTTCTCAGTTTGAGTCAAAGCCCATTAAATGAATTTCTGTTTCATGGTTCTGCTGCATAGTTACTACTGTTATGAAAAGTTAATGGATTGTTGTATTGTAAGGATCATTTTCCAGTGTATAAAATTGATTATTTGTGTATCATTCCCCATGCATATTACAAAGTCAAAGCTTTAAATATGTGAAAGGTGTAATTCACAATTACTTGGTTAGAATTACAAAAGACCTCTCTCAAAGGAGCCTGTATGTAAATTTAGGTCGTTATCCATCCTACCTTTGTGCAGCACAAGCTACTCTTGTATGATTATGTAGTACCATTTAATTATTGTGTAATTAGGTTATGCAACAATTAAAATGCACACAACAGGTATTTTCACGTTAGCCAAACCACACCCACCTTATGGTGTTCTTGTTGTGTTCGTGGGGCAAGATGTTCTGTTTTTCTAATTTTATTGTTTGTTTGTTTTTTTTTCTTTGTATTTTGAAGCGGTTATTGTACATGCCTCATCCGCTTCCTGTTTGTTTTAATATGACTTCCTGTTTAGGAAAACGGCAGTAAAGGGCCATGTTTTCACAGCCTGGTCAAAATGGCAATTTGATATTTTTTACTTTGTATGGAGGTATTTACAAATAGACTTCTTGGCCCTACGTTTTTTTTTTTTTTTGTTTGTATTAAATGTTTCAGTTTATCGAATTCTTACCTTAATTCGGAGGCATGGAGAACATAGTTTCTAATGTTATCTTCCTGTGATCAATGGCTCACATTAATAAAGATCTTGATACTTTTGTTTAATAAAATGATCTTGTGTGAAGCTATCCGTATATTGAAACTGTATGTTAACACACTTGCATCTCGTAACAAAGAGCTTGCCACATTGCAGGGAACAAAGCTAGATTTTTCTTGTTGCTGTCCCTTTAAGAGAACAGCCTTGCTAAACAAAGAAAGACAACATGGCCGTTGGTTTTACATGCTGATGCCGCTTTGTCAGTCAGCTGCACATACTGGTTGAAGCAATTGTGCTTGTTGGGTTTGATCGGTTATGTGTTATTGAATACTGTAACACAGTGAACTGCTATAAAGCTTTGCTGCCAGGGTTTGGTCGTATTGCTGGCATAGCACATTGTCTATTAAAGCAATGCAGTGTTGGACCAGGAAACTGTCTCCTTTCTTCTCTATTGAAAAGGAACATTATGTTCTATATGCCGTGTGCACGTGTACAAATAGACTTTTTTTTTCTTAGATATATTGAAGGCACAAACAATGGACTGTGTTGCTGGTTTTCCTATCAAGTTGTTCACATCTAGCACTGTATGTGCACTTGTGTATTTGGCACTGCAGATGTTTGAACTACATTTCCCTTGATGCACCTCAAGGAGCTTATGAACAAATATCTTAACCATTGCAGAGAAAAATGTTTTTTTGTTTTGTTTTGTTTTTTAAATATCAGCTATTTGCATTGGTTGTTTTGTTTTTTCTGTTCAATTGATGATCCCCCTTTAACTAGATTTTAAACATTTTTGTTTTGAATAATGTATATCTGAAGCACACGGGTACGTATATGAAGATTATTGGTCTTTGATAGAAATGGTTCATCCTTGCTCTTCGATTTAACATTTTTAACCCAGTTTGCCTTTAAACTTATTTGAGCTTCATATAAAGAATCCCTTTCATTTGTCTAGGCCTCTATAAAGCTTAAAAGTAATAGCTATTTTTTCTTATTAATTTCCAACAGATTAGTTTTTCTTTTTTTCCTAGCGCTTGAATTTAAGGCAGCCATTTTAGAAGTTTCTCATTTTGCATTCTTCTTTTTCTGAATTTTAAACCATGTTTGATGATGTAATGCTAAACAAGCATCCCCAGCAGCCCATTCCCTCTGTGCAGCAGCAGTGGGCGACTGTGATTGGCTTAATGTCAGCTGGCTGATTACAGCCTCCCAGCACCAAGTGCTGTTATGAATAGGTATGCCTTAGTTACACCTCCACAGGGTCCGAGCTATGAATGGCTAGGGACCATTATTTACTGTTAAACTGCTTGAAATGGTTTAACACTGAATATAAGGATCGTGCCAGAAGGCTCCAGGCACTATACCATTTTCTATGAGATAAAATGGCCATAGTTATTACAATGTCCTTTTTAATTTCTCTACGCCGGGTGTAGGCAACATTTTTAGCAGCACGGTGCCAAAATAGAATTGTGATGTCCTGTTTTTTTTAAATTGAAGTGTGAATGCTGCCGTATTCTGCTTGTTATTTTTTCTGCAGTTGTATTTGTGCGTATATGAGCTATTATATTGTATATGTTCATGAGTAGTTTGTGGTAATGTTTATACCTATGAATGGGGGCTGCTTGTGAAAGTGTGTGCGTGGATGGAAATGTCACATTGTTTGGTGCTGTGTGTATGGGGCTGTTTGGGGTATTGCACGTGAGAGGCTGCATGCGGGGCTGTGTGCATGTATGTGGATTGTTATGGTGTTGCGTTTGTGCGGATTGTGTGTAGGCTGTTGATATTATTTGTATGAGGGTAGGGTTATTCTGCATTTCTGTGTGTGTGTGTATATAGCAATGTGGATGGCTTCCCTGGGTTACAGTGGGGGCAAGGTATAGCTCAAGTACAGGAGCTACAACAGCATCTGCAGGCTGCTCTATTCCAGTGTGGATTCCCATTCACAAGTGCTGGGAGGAAGTGATCAGAGATCACTTCCTCTACGTGCTGCAATGCATAAATTGAGGATTGTCCTTCACTACCTTTTTCATATTAGCAGAAATCTGCTGTTTCACTGGGACTCCTGATAGGCCGGAGCCTGTTTGGCTCTAGCAGCTTTGAGTGCCGTGCATGGCACATGTGCTATAGGTTTCCTACCCCTGCTCTATGCTTTGCCTTTGCAGATTGCAAGGTTCAAAGGACAGAGTTTATAACTGTGATTGACAAGGACCGACGATGGAGTGTGGATTTCTAAATTTAATTCAATGTTTTACACTTCACAAACATATTTTGTAAAATATTAGGATAAATAAACTAAATAAAAATCATGTTTAGTGGCAGTTCCTTTTTCAAAGGGAATTGTGTGGCACATGCCCTTGTAATATAGATATTCTGTTGCCCTTTTTGAATCTGCTTTAACCATTTTTGAATATGTACCCTTTTTTTCACTCACATCAAATTTTTTAAAGGAACATTATAGGGTCAGGAAAACAAACCTGTATTCCTGACCTTATAGCACAAACCCCACCATATACGTGACTTGCCCCTCCATCCCACTTAAAGCATGAAAAACGCACCTTATTTCCAGCACCGTGCGGGTCCACTGGCCCTGCCCCCTTGGTGACATCAGAATTGCCAAATTGTAGCCAATCCAATGCTTTCCCATGTGGAAAGCATTGAATTAGTTAAAATCGGCAAGGGGGCAGGACCAAACATTGTTTTGGCCAATCAGCACCTCCTCATAGAGATGCATTGAATCAATGCATTTCTATGAGGAAAATTCAGCTCTGCATGGGGACGCTGAACGGCAGAGCTGCCTACTGTGCAGCACTGCCCCAGGAAGCACCTCCAGTGGCCATCTGAGGAGTGTCCCTAGGGGCAATGTAAACACTGCCTTTTCTCAGAAAAAGCAGTGTTTGCGTTAAAATGCCTGCATATAATGATTTACCAGAACTACATTAAGCTGTAGTTGTTCTAATGACTATAGTGTTCCCTTTAATATTTCCGGCAATTTTTCACCATAAGTGTCAGATTTCTGCCACTGTAAATTTGACTACCTTTTTGTTTTTGCCTATCCAGTGTAATTTTCTGTGTAAAATGTGGTTTGGTTTTAAAATTGCTTAGGCAGAAAAGTTAATCTGAGATCTGTTTGTTTATAATCACGTTTTACTGGAGATCCACTCATTTTCTCACCATGAATCTGTAGCTCTTTAAATTTATCATGTTTTGAGGCAGGCACTGTTTGGAATGAGTTTAGGTTTTAATGTTACATTTAGGAAGCCTCCAAACGTTTGATTACTTGTGGTGTTTTCGCTCCCATTTAGATATTTGTGTGGTCCTGTCCCATTAATGTTTTTTCTTTCTCCCTTGTGTTACAGAGTATACAGATGATGCAGCACTGATTCCTAAAAATTCATCAGTCATCGTACGGAGAATTCCTATCGGAGGCGTTAAAACATCAAGCAAAACATATGTCATGTAAGTACATTTGTAATATGTTTGGGGACACTCTTTGTGCATGGAAGTATCTTTTCTCACCGTGTAGAAGTTTTGAAAAGTACCAGTTTTTGGGCTATTTTTAAATTGGTAATTTAAGCATGGCCAAACACAAATTCTAATTAATCATACAGAGCGTATAGTAGTAGTAGTAGTAGTAGTATGGTCTAATATAAAGTGCATAGCGTAAAAGTACAGCACAGATCTCTGGCTATGAACCAAGCTTTAGATTTTATCCAGAAAATACTGGTAACATAAAATTAAACAGAACCATTGGTAATGGAGAGCAAGACAGAAAATAAAACAACGTTGGAGAGGGGGGGACCCATAGTTGTCAGTTCAGGCACTCACTGACTTGTAATATCCTATAACCTTACGGTTATACTAGTTTAACCCCTTCCTGGCATTAGGGCGTGCCATGTCATAACTACAAAAGGGATACTTTAGGGCAGCATAGTACACCCTAATGATCTTGCCCGGATACTTAAGCGCCTGCCTAACAGCCCAATTAAGCCGATCCGAGTCATGATTGAATTGACGCTGCGATCACATAACTCGGACTGGCTGCAGGGGGATTGCCTGGTTTATCGGGCAGGTCCCCCACTATATAATTTTATTTAATAGGGAATATCCGCTTATAAAACCCTTTCCATTTTGTTGGCATCTGTGTTCTTTGATCTTTCCTTTTCTCCTGAAATACTAATTTATTTATTCTTCTCTCTTTGTTTTCTTGTGTTCTAGAAGTCGTTCCGAGCCAGTGAGTGGAACATCAAAAGCAGTATGTAAAAACACAATCACACTTTCCTTATACATTACTCTTAAATAACTGAAACAGCAAGATCCCCTCTTCTCCCTGCTCATTTTATGTTAATATTTTGTGTGGGTTTAAAGAACTTTTGTGGGTTTAAAGAAGTATTTAAAGTGTAAATACTATGTATTGCTCGTCCTGATTTGAATCCATGCCTAACCTGCACTTTGTAAGTGCGTGCACATGAATGCACTGTGTTTCATATTGAATGATAGCCTACGTCCTGTACCATCACAGGGAGTTGTACCGTCTGTATGATCGGTCGCAGGTCACACTTGTGAACATGTTGCCATGTTCTGTTTCAGGATCTGTTTTGTATAGATCTGTTATCTTGTGTACTGCAATAAAAATATATTTCATGTTTCAACCTTTTCACGCTGTAAACATTCCTGTTTTACCAAGGTTTATATTTTGCTCTATTACACTAATAGGCAGTGACTAATCTGCATTCCTGTTTATTTTGTATATGTATTGTACTTTGTTCTTTTTAAAGATTTAAACATTGCATTGATTTCCAAAGAATTGTGTTCTATGTGCACTATAATATCTGTATTAATGATTAAACGCCAAATGTTAATCTGTTTACACACAGTTCTAATGATTTGCTAGTATTGGTCACATGTGACATTTCAAAAGCATGAAAGGGTCCTATTCCTTTTCGTTTGTGTGGGTGTGTACTAAATATCACGGGTCTTTTAAAACTGCAGTAAAACCAAATAGTCTTCTTAGCATTGTGTAACACACACGTTTTAGGTGTTTAGGAATTTAACATGTACCTTAGAGAACCATGATCAGATTTTCACTTTTTTTTTTTTTAAGATTACATTTAATGAACCTTTTAATGTAGCTTCACACAGAGCAGTTAAAGCAGTGGGTCAGACAATATTAAAATTTGGGCCCCCAAAATTAAATATAAAAATCATGTAGTGGAAATTTGATGACCGTTAACCTTTAATAGAGAGGCTTACTCTGGTTTAGTAGAAACTCGAGTGCTAGACAGTGGTTATTCAGATAGGAAAGGTACATGCATATGTTGCAAAGTGAAGGGCCGTAAACTACGATTTGTTAAAGGAATGCTATAAGGTCTGGAACACAAACATGTATTCCTGACTCTCTAGTATTAAAACACCACTCCTAAATGTAGGAGAATGTTACCTTCATTCGGCTGGCGCTGGCTTTGCCCCTGATCTGCCTCCTTGGCCGTCATCAGTGGTGGTCTCAGCCAATCACAATGCTTTCCCACGAGAAAGCATTGGTTTGGCTCAGATTGTCCATTTTGTTGATCTCAGCCAAGAAGGCGGGCAGGAGCAGAGCCAAATTCTGCCCCGGCATATCAACCTCTCCTCATAAATGCATTGAATCAGTGCATCTCTATGAGAAGTTGTCTCCATGCAGAGGTTGGAGACACTGAATGTCAGTGCTGCGCAGTGTTCAGCATTGCCCCAGGAAGCACCTCTAGCAGCCACCTGAGTGGCCAGAGGAGGTATCCCTAGACTGTAATGTAAACACTACCTTTTTCTCTGAAAAGACAGTATTTACTGCAAAAAGCCTGCAGTGACTGACTATACTTACCAAAACTACATTAAGCTGTAGTTGTTGTGGTGACTATAGTGTCCTTTTTAAGGAGCCACAACTCTGCACAGGTTTGTTGAGAACCTTTAATTCTATCAGCCAGGGCAGGGGTAGGTAACTTTTGACACTCTCGATGCTGTGGACTACATCTCCCATAATCCTCTTAGTCATGTAGTCCACAATATCTGCAGCGCCGAAGGTTGCCTACAAGACATAACCATTTTGTATACTATGCCTTTAAAACATTTGGTCAGTTGGCTAGTAAAATGGGTGACTTGACTTTTAAAGTTCATTTTACCAGTGAGTGCCTTATAATCAGTGCAGTGTCTAAATCTGCCTCTACTTTATTTGTAGCCTGCATCTTCCTAAAGCCTAGCACAGCATTGTGGTAAATCTAGTCCACAAAAATCTGCCTGTACAAAGTTAGCCATCAACGGCTCTAGTTGTAAATGATGCAGGAGTTTCCCTTTAATTCTAAGCTCTGCATCCTACTTTGTTACTTTAAAACTATATAATAAAGTTGTAGTAAGAAATGCATTATCTTACACGTTAATTGGACTTGTGGAATTTGAGCCACAGGACCTTATTCACTAAATACTGAATTGTAGTGAATTGTTAAATGCTCCATTCTTTTTTGCTTATATTTTGCAAAATAGGAGAGTTGGAAAAAATGTTCCAATATTACTGTTTGTCCACCTTGTGTTTAGTTTATCATTCACGCTTTAATGAAAAAACTATTTGGTGATATAATACTTACGATAAGGGTTAATATTTTAGGGTCTAGTGAAAGGGAAGCAAAAGAAAAAATATTACCCTTTATAGACACCCGTGTGAAACTGTGTGCGTGTGGAGTGTTTTGTTTTTGGTTTTTCTCCCCTTGGAGATTTTACAGTTTAGAAGCATCCATGCAACTGCAGATACCTAATATGGATACATTTTAATCCTTGTATTTATAGCATTTCATTTTATAATTTTTTTTATATATATATTAAACACTTGTGAATACAAAATATAATTTTTAGTACCACGTGGGGAAAAAAATGTGAAGGCATTATACTGTTGACTGGCATTTATTGCACTAGTAGAAACATGGCAACATGTCAGTTCTGAATTATTTGTGGGAATTGCACTGCCAAACACTCTTGCTGATCGGTTTGTCCTGAATTACTTTGGGTTTTCACCTAAGTGCTTACTGTAAAAATGCTCAAACTTATTTTTTTTGTTTCATACAGTATTAAGTTGCCTTATATATTTTTTTTTATTATTTTTTGTTCATTGGCATGTGTATGCAAAATAAGTCACGTTTTTCATAAATAAAAATGAATCTTTCTTTTAGCCATTTGTGTTCCCTGGAATGTCTATTGCCTCTGTATATGTGTAATTACCACATTGTAGGATTCATGTGATGTTTTTGCTAGCAGTGAGGTTTTATGTAAGGCATACAACACTTATAGCATACACTACCGGGGTAGGCAACCTACTGCACGAGTGCCATGCACGGCTCTCGAGGTGTCTTTGCACAGCACTCAAGGCTGCTAGAGCCAAATAGGGTCTGTCCTATTAGGAGTCCCAGTGAAACTTCAGATATATGCTAATATGAAAAGGTGGTGAAGAACAATCCTAAATGTATGCATTGCAGCACGTAGAGGAAGTGATCTCAGATCACTTCCTCCCAGCACTTGTGAATGGGAATCTGCACTGGAGTAGAGCAGCCTGCAGCTCCTGTCCTTGACATATACCTGGCCAGCCTGGTACCCAGGGAAGCCACCCACACTGCTAAATATACACAAGAAAAGCACAATAACCCTCCCCTCATACAAATAATACCTACAGCCCACAAACAAACATATACACAATCCGCACAAACGTAACACGGTAACAAACTACATACATGCATACAACCCCACATACAGCCTCTCTCATACAATACCCCAAACAGCCCCTGACATACACACAATATGAACATATCCATCAACACACACAATTCTACAAGCAGCCCACATTCATATGTATCATACACAATACCACCATAGAATAGCTCATATACACACAAATACAACTGCAGTATAAATAACACAAGCAAAATACGGCAGCATTTACACTTCAATTTAAAAAAAAAAAAAAATAGGACCGGCACACTATGGGACATAACAATCCTATTTCAGCACAGTGCTGCTAAAAGGTTGCCTACCCATGCACTACACAGTAGTTATGACAATTGTCTGTATTGAAAGACCACATCCTATTCTACCCTTGATGTAGGAACTTTTCTGTGATGGCATATCTGGATAATGACAAATGAAAATGTTTTGCGTACTGTAAACATTTTCCGTGAAACCAAAAAAAAAATGCTACCTAACCTGGTGTCATGTCTTATCCATGTGGCATTTCAAAGGCTTTTTTTTTTTTTTTCTTTATCTGGCCCATACCTTCCTTTTACTAGTTACTTTGAAGACCTTGGTGCACCCAAAAATCTGCCGCTACACATTGGTGAACAGATTTGTGTTAATGGAGAAACTAGTTACTAGAGTGATCTATCTCAAGGGTAGGTAGCACTCCAGATGTTGTAGGCTTGAACATTTATGAATGCAGGAGCATTATGGGAGATGTAATGCACATCTGGAGCGCCAAAGGTTCCCTACCCCATGATTCTATCTCATAGAGCTTTGGGGTAGACCCTGACTGTTAAACTACGCAGCCCATGATGTTTGCCAGCTATATGGCTGGAAAACATCCCACAAAACATATTGGATTCTGTTCTGTAATACTTAGATGTCTTGGCTCAACAATTACAGAGAACTGTGCAAAGAGAACCTGCCATGTTTTGCAGTGCACCATTATTATTATATTTATATAGCACCATCAGATTCCATAGCGCTGTACAATGGCAAGCTTCTCCTACAGAATTAGTCTGATTCCTGCAGTTACCCATAAATTAACACATGACTCCACAGGTCTCTGGACAGTCTAGGGATAACTGGTGAGTTCAGTTGCAGATCTGCTGACAAGCTCATTTTATCGTACTCTAGAATGAACGCTTCACTTTTACAAAATCATTTCACCCTATGTCATTGAGTTCTCATTTGTGATTCCAATTCATTCTAACACCTGGCGAAAATGAGTTAATATCTTACTTGTTAGATCAGTGCTTCCCAAACTAGTCATTAATGGACCATCAATGCCTTAATCTAAATGCTTTTAATATGAAATGACTCTAGGGGGAGTAGAGATATGTACAACTTATGGAGTAGGTGGGGAGCGCAGGAGGCAAGGATTTTACTGATTTAAGATGAAACTGTCGCTTCTCTGGAAATTACACCTTGTTTAAAGTGTTGAAATCACCTACAACCTGTTGCCATAATCTGTTGCGCTCTTTTAAAAAACATTTTATTATTATATAGTTAAAAGTTAGGCAAATTTATATCACACTTCAGTGCAGGTACAGCCAGGGCACTTGATGCAAATTAAAGGAGAATAGATTGATTTTTTCCAGTTGTAGATTTCTACAATGTAAAAGTAAACCCCGCAATAAAAATCAGAGGAAATTAAAGATCCACTTTTTAATAAGATAAGAATAAGCAATTATAAAAAAAATATTTCACATTTGAAATCAAAGCTGTATTCCAATAGGCTGGTTAATGTTAAAACAGCTGGATTTTAAAACGTTGTCAATGACCAAAAAATCTACACACCATTGCAAATGGTTGCATTTAGTCTTCTGTGAGCTGTATAGATCTTGTGGTACAAAAATTTAAAATAGATGCATGGCCTTCTCTATCTCTACATTTTATATAGTAAGGAACCAGTAGTGTTTGCTTAAATGACTATAAATGGTGCAGGATTGTATAAGCTCCCTATAGATAAAGAACTGACGTGCTGTTGGTCCTTGGGCTAATTTGAGAAGCATTGATTTTAGGGAATTTTTAAATGGGTTATATGTAGCTGCTACAATGTCTGCAGTCTTCTGGAACCTATTAATGCGGACTTTAAACACCCCTAAGTTTTTTACTTATTTATTTCTATTTAAAATGTCAATAACTTTCACAATATTTTACTAATTTACGATTGAATATAGGATACATGTGTTGTGGGTGGGGTGTGTGTTTTTTTTTTTTGTTTTTGTTTTTTTTGAGTCATGGTTGTATCATGCTCGTATCATGCTCATTCCAGGAAATTTAGACTACTCTCAGATTTTCAGACAAGGATGTTGGTAGTTAGAGAGTGGGGCCAACTCTCTCTATATTAAGGAGTTTAATGAAATCTTCTTTTTTAAAAAAAAAATGCCATTTTCATTTTTGTAGCTCCCGCATAGGTTCTCCTTTGCTAACAATTAGCAATGCAATAATAGAAACATTACATTTTAATGCTTGCCTACCGCCATCTTAAAGGGGAACTGTCACTTCTCTTGAAATATACTATTGTTTACAAAAAAGTATTTACTTATTTTTCTTTCTGCATATGCTCCGTTATATTTTAATTTAATATTAAACACTTATAAAATGACTTCACAATCCAGTTCTGTCCTGTGCATTGCAAATGAAGAGGAGTTATAGAAGCATTGCTTTATTTCTCCTCTATGCTGACAACGAGGTGTGAACGATGAAGCCTATAACGGTGATTGTGAGAGCTAAGATGAAGGCATCCAGTTGCAGGTTATAGAGGTTTAGCTTTCTACATGTATTTTCCTGTTTATTCCTCACAAATGTTAAATATTGGGAATAAGTAAACCTATTTCAAATCCTGGGTAGTGACCGTTCCCGTTTAAAGTGTACCATGTGTTGTACTGCTGATGGAAGTGCTGCAGGCCTTGGATTTAAGCCAGTACATCTAATTATATCGGTCTGTAAACCTATCTATGTCCCTTGTACCTAATCTGCTCTGGATAAGAGCGCTATAAAAGATCTGTAATATAAATGTCACAATCTCTCACAAAACATGCATTTGGGTTGATATATATGCCTCTTATAAATAACTATACTTAAAAAAACAAACCAAAAAAAACACAGCATTTTATGCCAAGCTAGCAAAACATGGATATTTGGTTTTACACAGACATGAGTTTTAGAAATGTACCGGATCACTTTCAAAATTTAGATATATGGGTGTATAAAGCATGTGAAATAATTTTCATATATATTTTTTTTTTAATGAATGGTTATTTATAAAAAGCAGGGCAACCCTCCATCTTTGTTTGCTGACCATATCCTGAAATAAAGTTTAGGGCTGATATCGGGCCATCAGCAACTTACCATGAGGTACACCGCTTCTGAGAATCTCATATTGCTTCCTTCTCCTCAGATGGCTTCAGACATCCCCCCTTTTTTTATTTGTTGGCCAAAATGTGTAATTTAATTGTATGGCAACAAAACTGAATTTTAATATTTGATATGTATAATACACATCATTAATGCATGAACTACATTCTTGAGAACAAAATATTTTTTTTAAACTGTAAGGAACATGTTTGTCAGAATACCACACCTAATGTTCAAATTTCTATTGATTGGTGATATGTTTTTAAATAGTCCGATCCAGTTGCAGTATTAAACGTCAGTCTTTCACCTGTTTTTGCACATCGTATGCCAATATATCCTGTACATGACTGTCAGTCTTGCAGTAAACACATTTTGACATGTATTGAGTCCCGCAAACTGAAACACATTTTCACTAAAAGTAAAACCACAGGAATTGCACATCGTATTGATGTAAAAATTGTGTTTATAGGAGGTCCATATTTTTTCCTTTTACACAACTGTAAATGTTTTAACATGTATCAGGATTTTTTTTTTTTTTTAACACTGTATGCTTTTGAGTCACATGTGGCAATAAGAATTGTGCAATGTTTTGTTCTAACGTCAATTGATGTATTGTCGTGGGTGGGATTGATTGCAATTTATTTTTGTTTTTAATTCTTGAACGTGTTTTTATTTAATTTCCTATAAACAGATTGATGACGCTTCTGCATCTATTTCTATGGCCAAGCTTGCTAAGGTATATGTATACATATAACTGTACAATGAATGTGCACGAATATGGGCACCTTCTTGTAATCTGCATTCTTTTACTGTATAAAATTACTATAAACATGAAACGGTGTGTGTTGCATTCTCCTGTAAAGAGTAGCTCCCCTGCCCCGCCCCCTCTAGTTTCCGAATTTGGATGGAAACCGCTTCGACCAAATCGGGTTGTTCAAGTCAAAAAAAACGGAAGAGTTTCTCTCCTTCGCAAAACGTAACCTATCCATCTGGCTTTCAGGGCTTTTATTCATTATTTTTTTGGACAAGGATATTTAAAAAAAAAAAAAAAATACACAGAAGAACATGCATTGATTAGCAACTAACCGGTAAATTACATGGACTGTGACCATTTTCGGTAACTGAAAAAAAAAAAAAAAAAAACATGGTAATGGACATTCAACCTGAAAATAGCTCCATCAGCACTTGGCCGAGCACTATTTGTACCCATAGTTTTTAGTACATGATTTCTGCTAATGTGTTCAAGGATACAACAGTCTGGAAATGTGTTTGTTGTGAATACACTAAGACAAATGAAGCATTTATATTGCCAAACCCACTACTCAGCTGTGCATTTAATCCATAATATATCAATATGTTATCAGTTGATGTTCTGCTGACCTTATGATTCCCTAGTGTCATGGCTGAAGCGTCATTGGAGATGAACATCATAAAATGCAAAAGCACTGATTGGCCTCTAGTATTCTTGATATCCTTAAGTAGTAGATACAAATATCATGATTATCTGACTAATTTAAAAGAACACTCTAATGACCAAAACAACTTTAGCTGAACAAAGCAGTTTTTGGTATATAAATCATGCTCCTGCAGTCTTACTGCTCAATTATCTGCCATTCAGGTGTTAAATCAATTTGTTTATGCCCCCTAGACACACCTCTCTGCATGTGACTTGCACAGCCTTCCTAAACACTTCCTGTAAAGAGCCACCTAATGTTTACACTTCCTTTATTGTAAATTCTGTTTAACTTTGAATTGCTTATTTCCTGCTCTAATAACTTGCTAGATCCTGCAGAAGCTTCTTGTGTGTGATTAAAGTTCAATTTAGAGAGTAGGAGATAAAAATCTTTTAAAGTAACTTACTACCTAACTAAGAGTAAAACCATTTTTTCATGCAGGCTGTGTCAGCCACAGGTGTGGTTAGGGCTACATAAGCAATCTATACAAGATACAGAATGCACACTATAACAGCCACAATTCATAATATAAATCTTTTAATTAGAACAACTGAAACAATCAATACATAAAAACACAAAGTAACAAAATAAGGCAACCTGTAATCGATTCAGTAATTTACCTAAATCTCGCCAGCTTCAAGACAGAAACACGAGCCACCAATCCCCCCAATGTTTCGGCACCTACTGGTTGCTTTTTATCAAGGGTGTCTCTACCAGTGTTCTTATGTGTCTGCTTATAATACCCCTAACCATCAGCATACATGTATAGCGACCACGGAAGTCAAATCACTTTGGGTGTTGGTATAACTCTACCTTCTTGCTAAATGAAAAAAGATCACCAATATCACGTGTAGATAAAGCAATATCTATACATATATACAATATGATGGAGGCTCATCCACGTACCTGCTAATGTCCCCGCGCATGCGTACTGGATATCATAGTAGTCTTGTAACGCCATCTGCATAAGCAGAAACAAAGTGATTTAACTCCTAAGTGGGAGAAAATTGAACAGTGAAACTTCAGAGGCATGATCTACACACACACACTTTTTCATTAGGCTAAAGTTGTTTTGGTTAATGTAGTATCCCTTTAAATATCTAGATATCTACACAGGACAGGTACTCTTCACACAGATTTTCACTAAGATATTTCTTAGTCTGCATATGATGTATGATGTGTTTAAGAGCTATATGGTAGTGTGATAATATAACAGACACTTTAAAGACCTGTATGGAAAGTTATAGAATCTTGTGTTTTTTGTTTTTACAAGGAAAGCAGACCAGTACAGCCATTATTTTGCTCATCTATGTGTTCTGTGATACCCAACCATGATATGAATTGCTATATGTACAGTTTGAATTTCTATGTACGTAGTTTTCAACAAGGCACTCCTAGATGAGTTCACTCTAAAGCTAATCTGTAATTTTTTTCATGTTACAAGTCTCATTCCATTACCACCTCTCTTCCTTTCACTGTACTGGGTAAATGTTTGGACTGTTTACCATGGTCTTCTCTTTCTGAATACATTCTATGGTATAGTCTGATTGTTAATTGGCTTCCAGTCCTCTACCTTCCTCACAACTTGCGTAGTGTAACTCGACCTTTGGCTTACCTCAGCTGTCAATCAAGTTACGCAGCATACGATTCCAAATAATCTCATATTACTACTAGGAAGAAACACCTATGATTTTAAATGGTCCTCACATTTACGCAACCTGAGAACTGGACGCAGAAAATGCAGTGTACAAATCAAATTGTGCAAAAAAGATAACTCATGTGACGGAACGTTACGCAATTTCTATTATTCTTTGAAACACTATGTGACATTGGTCTGTCCTATTTAAACAATGTTTTTTTCATCAGTTAAAACATCCCATTTTCTTCAGCCAAAGACCTGTATATGAACCTTCCTTTTATCTGCCATGTTTGTTTTTGGTGTATTCCTGGCAGGATTTCTGTGTTTACATTTGTTAACGTTCATGCATATAGCTAAAATTGGTATACTTATACAATGATGCAATGTGTACCATTTTACCGAATTTGATACCTGAAGTTGTGAAAACTGCAATGTAACTTGTGATTTTCCAATAAAACAAAAATAAACTGTTTGCTTGTTTTTTGAATGAATGCTGGCCCATCCACACAGTCATACTTTGCAGAAAGTGTATTTTTATTTTTTAAACTAGGCCATGTTTATACCCTATGTTTAAATGTATTTAATTGGGTTGTCTAATAGTCTAGGCATCAACACCACTTCTCCTTATTGAAGTGTTGTGGTGCCATCCCACTAATGTTAAAATGTACACAAATGGTTAAACACTGAATGAGCACCCTCACTCTGCTGTATTTGCTGACCGCTCTCATGAATAGAGTATAACTCTGCTTTAGCTGTACCACGGATGGAACCACACTGAACTGTGATCTGGCATCTAGGGACTCCAGGAACCACAACCACTTTAGCTGAACAGGTTATGGTGCCTAGAATGTCCTTTAAAATACTAAAAAATCAAGGTGCTAGGAAAGTCAATTGCATGTATCACGCTAGATAACTTTGTTAATGTGAAAGCATGGTTTATTCCGTTCACATTAAGGAGGACATAACCAGCATAGACCCTCATACATCATCCCACTGTAACTTGCACTCATTCAGTTGCCATACAGTGGGATAATTAGTGTTAGTCCTTAAGAAGATCATTCTTTCAGAGAATGGCACCGCTGCTTTCCTACGTGCCAGTGATGGCTAATTAGTGACACAGATGAAACTGAAGATGGTTATACATTTGTAAAGATTGCCATCGTTTTCCTGTTGTTAACTCTGCTTTTAATAGGATTCAGTCATCATCAGCACAGGTGCAGACTTTTTCTATGTGTGTTTTGCTGGTTTTTTTTTTTTATATAGATATAATTTAGTTAATTTAGGAGGACAAAATGGTTACTGCTCCAAATGGTCCACCATTGCATTCCTTAACTGGGCACTTTCTCCGGAAATTTGTTTTCGATAAGACTAAAGAATGATGTAAGTAACATTTACAACTTAATTACAAGAGTTTAAAGCGTATGTATGTGTGTGTGTGTGTGTGTGTGTGTGTGTGTGTATATATATATATATATATATGTGTATATATATATATATATATATTGCACTTTCAATAGTAAGCTTAGATTGTCTGGTTTCTCTTTTCATGTTTAGCATGTTGTGTACATTGTGGGAGATTATCTAATGGGATGTCTGTTTCTGAGTATATATTTTCATTCCCACTGTTAATATTAGAAGAACCACCAATGCCTGTGAGTTAATGGCCCCTGCATTTACACAACTATAACTTGAAAAGGGACACACAGAAAATACCTTTTATTGTGGCTGATTTGTGTTTGGACTTTATAGCCTTACCATGTGCTGATTATGTACACAATATTCATGTAATTGCAGTGTTGACAACATGCCCTCCTTTTCACAGTTTAGCTTTGGTTAGGGGTGTATACTAAATCAGCCCACCCCTTATATGAGCATAATTCTGCTAAACTTGCCAATATTTTAAAATAGTTGGTATTTAGAGAAATCATTGTGGGATTTCCAGATCTTTTAGGTAAATGTTAAGTGTGAGTTTATAATAACATTTCTAGAAGTCAAATTATTATAAATGTTTACCCATGCTCGTCAATGTGAATTGTGTACGTAGGTTGCTGAGACATAAATTGACTAAAAATTCTGATCTAAGTTTATTTTCATGCGTGATCTTTTGAATACCAGAATAGATGAGCATAGTAATTCTATAAGTTGTGCTTTGCCTCTAAACATTTCCCTGCTAGTGTGAAATAAGTTTGTTGCTCTAGCCAGTGCCCTTGATTTGCATTTTAATGCATATGGAGATTATTTAACTTACATTGGTAACATACTTTCCTGCTTTGCTTGTTGCCCTCTGAAACATGGCCAAGGACCACTAAAAGGGAAATATTTCAAAGCAAGTGAGCTTGAAAAACCAAACTGAATAGCCACATACGGAGGGACAGAGAATGCAGACAGATGCTAGGGTCTTAACGTAATGTAAAGAAGTCTGTCTGCAGTTTCTTGTTCCTGCTAAAATCCTCATACGATAACCCTTTAAAACCATTAAAGATGGTTTCTCACGTTTTGGTGGAGGAGAACCCAACTTATGGTAACAATGTTAGACGTTTCGAAGTCTACCATTTTGATTTTAGCGTCTATCATGAAGTAGTGTGGTATAAACATGGCCTAAGACTGTTTTAATGTTTACAAAGGTGAAAACTTAAAAACAGTGCCTCAATTTCGCCTATGAGACACATTCTAATATTGACTGACATAATATCATGCTCTCTTCTGTCGTACATACGTCCTCCATCTTGGCCAGTTTGGTGGTAAGGCACAGGTGGCAATGCTGCTCTTTACAGGATTGAATGTGTGAGTGTGCTCAAGGGTGGGGAATCGTAATAAAATTTTTTTTGCTTACTAATGTGACTCCCTAAATAATTGCCTGTTAAACAGACCGCCAATCTGGCTGAAGCAGATGCTTCTGAAGAGGATAAAATCAAAGCTATGATGACACAATCCGGACATGAATACGATCCTAGCAAGTAAGTGCCAGTGGTTCCATTATACAAGCCTTTTAATGCTGCTGTAGCCATAGCACTCTGTTAACATTTGTTTCCTTTTAACTTTTTTCCAGTTATATGAAGAAACCGCTAGGCCCTCCGCCTCCTTCCTATACATGTTATCGATGTTTAAAACCTGGCCATTACATAAAGCAGTGCCCTACCAACGGGGTAAGAATATATTGTCTTTTGGGTTTTCTGTGGTCCCATGAACTTATTGTACTTGTTTTTTCATGTTATACAGTGCTTTCCCACCAAGTCATTCAGTGACTCCCCAACCATCTTGCCATTGGAACACAAAAGGATAACTACCTCTAGACTGTAAATTCGTTTGAGCAGGGTCCACCATCAACTTATTGCTCCTGTTACATTTTGTAACTGTCTCATTTGTTACATTTCCCCCTTTCATAATATTGTAAAGTTCTTCGCGATAAGTTGGCACTATTTAAAGGGTTTTAAATCATCAATGATGAGCCTTTGGGATTTTTGTATAAACCTTCCCCCAAAATTATATCCTTAAAGGACCTCTATAGTGACAGGAAAACATACTCGTTTTCCTGGCACTATAGGGTCTCTAGGTCCCCCCCACCCTTAGGGTCCCTCCACCGCCGGGCTCCCTCGGCGGTGTGGACTCTCCGCCTCCTTTCCCCATCATCGGGTGAATGCGCATGAGCGGCAAGAGCCGCACGCGCATTCAGCCAGTCCATAGGAAAGCATTCTCAATGCTTTCCTATGGACGCTGGCGTCTTCTCACTGTGAAAATCAAAGTGAGAAGCGTGGAGGCGCCTCTAGCGGCTGTCAATGAGACAGCCACTAGAGGCTGGATTAACCCATAGGTAAACCTGCTATGTTTACAGCACAAAGGGTTAATCCTAGATTGACCTGACACCCAGACCATTTCATTAAGCTTTAATTTTTGATGGGACAGAGCAATGTTTTTTCTTTTAATCAGTGAATTATAATTACAACAATCATCATATATTGGCAACTATATCGACAATTGTGGGCATTTAAGACTTTTTTACTGACAAGATATAGTAATGTAGTTAGAACCCAAAATTTATTTTTTTCCACAATTTGATATTTACACTGTTTTTGTGTTGCTTGCACTATTTGTCTTTCATTGTGGGGTTTTGTTTTTCGTATGTGCTTCTTACTCAATGGTTAGACTATATCCGCTACACTTTTGTTCTAACATTTAGATAATTTAAGTATGTAAAAAAAAAAAAAAAAAAAATTTCAACGAACATGTTGAAGTTTTATTTTGGGTTTTTTTTTTTATCTTCTTTATATCATAAGCAGGACAAATCATTTGAGCAAACTATCAGGATTAAAAAGAGCACTGGAATCCCCCGTAGTTTTATGGTGGAAGTAGAGGATCCCAATATGAAGGGAGCTATGCTTACAAACACTGGAAAATATGCCATACCTACAATCGATGCGTAAGTATTTACTAGATGTAAAATATGTGCTAGGTGATGGCAATTTGAAAACTTTTGAACTTTTAATTGATCACATTCATTTTGTAGGGTGGCTTATGCTGTTGGGAAAAAGGAAAAGCCACCGTTTCTTCCCCCTGAACCCTCATCGTCTTCAGAGGAAGAGGATCCTGTGCCCGATGAGCTGCTATGCTTGATCTGTAAAGACATGATGAACGATGCTGTTGTAATACCGTGCTGTGGGAATAGCTACTGTGATGAATGTGAGTTAATTTCATGGAACAGTTCATTAAAGGGTGTCAGCAACCATCAAAATTATGCTTTTCAATTCCAGAAGAGTTTCCAAAACACACCACGATAATGATTTGTCAGACTGCGTGTCGTTGTAATCTGATAAAAGGACACTATATTCACCCAGACCAATTGATCTTAATGAAGTTTGAGTGCAGTGTCCCTGTCCTCTTAAACCTGCAATGTAAAACATTATAGCTTTAAAGAAACTGCAATGATTACATTGCAGGGTTAAGACTGCCTCTAGTGACAGTCTACCAGACAGCCACTAGAAGCACTTTCTGCTGTTTCACAGTTTAACTCTGTGAAATGACACTAGACGTCTACATAGGAAAGCATTGATTCAATGTTTAGTGCTGGAATAAGGTGCTTACATATTTTTTTTATTTTATTTTTTTAATCCTAGGACAGCCGCCTTGGCAGAGGAACTCTGTAGTGTTAGGAAAGTTTTATTGCTAATCTGTCACAAACCAACCACTGTATCACTCCCAAGATATTGATATAAAGGGTTACTCCAACCTCCATGACCTCTGCTTTTAGAAGTGGAAATGGTGCAAGTAATCTGTATGTGCAGCGTTTCTGCTTGAAACACTGCCTATATGGAGAAGTCTTTGAATATGTGCCAGCCTAGTAGACCCAGGACACATGGCTAGTGAACTTGAATGTCTGTTCCGCACAGATTAATGTGAGTTCTGTGCACAAAAATATGTCCTCCGTTGGCAAGCGTTGTGCACTGGCGACACGTCATCTGATTATTCTTCTTCCAGCCTCATCTTATCCACCCCCTACCCTCTCTGCAGCATTCGTATCCTCCCTTCTTCCTCTCCAAGCACTTGGATTGGGTGTAACGGTGTGGATTGTTGTGAGATTAGTTATTACCCGCACATGCAGGATTGGATTCAATGCTTCTCTATCATAAGAAGTTGATTGGTGGGTTGCATTGATGGCCAGACATCAGGCTGAACTTGATACTGGATTCAAGCTGAGTTTTAACTTTATTTTACACATTTTAAGATTAAAAAAACAAACTAACTAACTTGGGAGGCGGCTCCATGTGACAAGTGCCCAATAGGGCATTATAAACCGAAAAGGAAAAAAAAAGTTATTGGGCTAACCCTTTAAGGCTACCAACAATTAACAGTATTAAACCGTATTGACATGTTAAAAACTTCAATTTTAGATTGTCAGTCTTTACAGGTAAAATAGTATGAGTTTTGTAACATGTAACAAAGTGGCTCATTTTGAGGGGAATATATATTGCTGCAAATCAGCATCTTCTCCACAAGCATATGACATAAACCTTTGTCAGATTTGTGGAATATGTAATTTTGCACTCCACAATAATTTTATTCATGAAAAGGTTCAAATAAAACCCCAGAGTTATAACGAATAGCTTTTTTTTTTTTTTTTTTTAATGGGATCACCAATTTGTGTTGTTTTACATGAACTATTGCTCACAAGGACCTGAAAGGGTTAAGTGCAAAATGATTTGCCTTCCCTGCATCTGCCATTAAAGACTTAATTGTAGATAGCAGTATTTGTGGCCTGTGTATCTAATATACTCTTTTCCCTGCAGGTATTCGCTCTGCCCTACTTGACTCTGATGATCATACCTGCCCAACATGCCACCAGACAGAGGTTTCCCCGGATGCTTTAATCGCCAACAAATTTTTACGTCAGGTATGTAGCTCAGCATGCACGTGTTAATGACTCCTATTTATTCAGAGTCCTCATCAAATGAACCATTTTAGAGCACACAGGGCAGTATATTCGTGATTATGTTTTATTTCTTGCTTCATTTTACTTTTTCCCACTTGGCATATAAATGGTGCTTTTAGCACAGTTTTTCTTGGACGTTTGTTAAATGTTATTTTATATACACCTTTAATGTGGATTAACAAATAGTAGATTCAAGCTGTGGAAATCCCATGATGCTTTGCCAGCTGTAAAGCTACAATTGATCTAGGTAGTTTAGACAAAGTAGTACATTGATACTAGAGGGTTTCTTTTGTCATTCTCTATTATATTTTTTATTTAAATGAGGAATCACTCTACTTGTCTGTTAAAGGGAGAATAAAGATATAGATGTAGATTTTTCCCTGTTTTTGAATTCCTTATGTTTATTTCAGGCTGTAAACAATTTTAAGAATGAAACCGGTTACACAAAGAGGATCCGCAAGCAACAGTCTGCACCTCCTGCAAAACAGTCCCAAACTGCTCCACCTGCACGCAACACACAACAGTCTTCACGCACAATGCCATCGCGACAGCAGGACCCTCTCATTGCTCCTGCAACTACAGCATCAGTTGTAAATCAGACCCCTCCCAGCACTGTTCCGAGCCGCCAGTCTGCTGCACCTAGCACTGTACCAGCCAACCCTCCACCATTGTCTGCATCTAGTGCAGACTCCACACCTTCACTGCCATTACCTGTCCACAAGGAGAGAGTAAAAACAGACCCTGTGTATCAGTAAGTCTCAATCATCTAATATATCTTCTCTAAGGATCCTTGAATAGCATTTGTCACATCCTCAATTTTAGCACAACCTTAAAGCTATCTAAAAGGTATACATTGAGCTAAAAATTTTTAACTTTCTTTATAGGTTTTTTTTTTACTTCTTTTGCATTTAATTTTGCAATGCCAGACATACAGCACCTCTTGCATGCGTTTAGAGCATTGCTAGAGAAAATGTAGCGCGCTCATCCATGCTTATGGCCTTTCTCTGTTAGATACCAATACCAGTGCTCCTGAGGCATCATAGAACAGTAAAACATGGTGCAGCAGAAGTATATTTTTGTTTACTTGCTTAGGCTGCATTATTCGCCACACTATATGCTGCAATACTGTTTAAAGGCCTGAATGAACAAGAGACTGTCACTTATCTGGAAGTGACCATGTTCGGCTGTACGTGGCAACTAGGAGTCATGTTGTAAAGATTTTTATACTAGATCTTCATTTTTTTTTCTTGACTTACACCTCTTATCATGGTCAGCATCTTGATGAGATGGTGTTTTTATTTTTACAGTGTGTGTGTGTGTGTGTGTGTGTGTAAAATATATTCTTACATGTATTTTTGTTTTTATCCCTGCCTCACCCAGCAATCAGGACAAAATTGGCTCCCGTTCTAGCACGGTTCCTGCCATCCCGGTCACATCATCCAGCAGCTGCTTAAACCCCGGGACCAGTAACTCACTTCTTGGAGATAAGGTAAATCTGTTCTCTTGTTACTTGTCACTTTCTCACCATGCCCCTTGAAGTGAAATTTAATACAACTTTGTGTTTTAGGGATATCATGTACCGGTTCTTGGTCAATTGCCTTCCCTTGCTCACTGCCATCCTGCACCAAGTAAGTATTTTATTTAAGGAGTAGTGATACTGATATTGATTCATCCAACCTATGGTTCTAGTAGAGATAGGGTTCTAATAGTTCTGCAAAACATACTTTATACTTTTCCTCTGTATTTACAAGCTATCAGGAACCCTCAAAGCATAGATCCCACACTAGGGTACCTGACAGCATTCTTTGAAATACCATTGTATTAATTTGTTTTCATTAAGTTTTTAGAAACAATATATAAAGTTGCTGTTTGTTGAATTTTTGCAGCACCACTCTTGAGGACCAATATCCCCAGACCATCTGGACCAAGACCCCTTATGGGCTGGGAAGGGTATGTATCTTCTATAGTTTGTCACTGATGTGATGCTCATAAAATTATTAAATACCTATGGCTGTATGTTATGTTTGCATTTATAAACTGTCTGCAGCTTGGCTAACCTAGAGACTGGGCACTGATACTTTGGCTGGTACATATTATTAGCTTAGAGCTACAGTGTTTGTTGACCAAACCATAGTGATAAAGATTAGGATGGAAAACTGTCAAAGCCAACTCTGTTATCTCTTACTTAACAGAGATCAGTTATGTAGATTAGCCTTTTGATTTGCTTTAATTCCTGATTTTGATTTGGTGTGTGGTTATACATAAAGTCCAATCTTTTAATGTGGAGCACTTTGCTGAAGTGCTCTCCCTACCGCAGAACTTAATGATTTTATTCACTTTTTGAAGCACCCCACTTGTACTACTTTGTATATTACTGATTTTATAACATTGCATGCACAGGTCCGTCAATACGGTTTCAACATTTTTACGTCTGTGAATTTGGGATGCTTTCTGATTTAATCTTTTACATATTTTCAGTCCAAGTCGTGGACGTCATCCTCACAACGACCGCCCTCTAAGAAATCAGGGTCCTTCCATGGTATCATCGGGACCGGTGTATGTCCATCCACCACCTCCTCCTTTGTTTCCACCACCACCTCCTCATGGTCTTCCACTGCCCCCAGGAGTTCCTCCACCACAATTCCCACCTCAATTTCCTCCTGGTCAGCCCCCAGGTGCGGGTTATAATGTTCCTCCTCCTGGTTTTGCTTCAGTGTCTCAAACAGTATCTGCACCTTGGGCTCCTGCAACAATACAAGGAGCACATAGCAATGCTCTTTCAACAACAAACTTAGTAAACCCACCGCTGTCCAAGGAGGAGTTCTACAGAGAGCAACGTCGACTTAAAGAAGAGTAAGTCCATCTAGTATTAATAAGCATATTTGTCGATTTTCATTTAATTCATTCCCTTTCATTCACCTTGTTTGACAGCATTACAAAATTAATAAGAAGTGTCACTTTGATTACCTATCCCCTTTATTGAACAATGTGTGGATGTGAGGTCTAAAATACAATTAAAATTTAACAAATCCACACCAATGTGTTTAGCTTTGTCCTGAAATTGAGCGCCTCCATCTTGGTTCCCTGTAAGCCATTTTTCTAAACGGTCATTGAACATAGTAATTGGAGGTGGTAAACAAAAACAATGCAATCTGTGTCCTTGTACCAGGACTGAATGAGATGTCAATTGCAAAATCTTTCATATACATGTAAATGTAAACAGCGAATCACATGAACAAAACCGTAAAAAAAAAAAAAAAAAATTCAAAATTTCATGGGACGCTACAGTCACCCAGACCACTGCAACTCAATGAAGTGATCAGGGTGCCATGACCCTGTCCTATTAACCATGCAAAGTAAAACATTGCTGTTTTTAGAAACTTTTTGCATTAGAGTGTTAGATCCACGTCTAGTTTGACTGTCTTACTGACCACCACTAGAGCAGGCTTCTCCAAACTCCGGCCCTCCAGATGTTGCTGAACTACAACTCCCATGATTCTATGAATGAAATAGATGGGCTGAGAATCATGGTAGTTGTAGTTCAGCAACATCTGGGGGACTGGAGTTTGGGGAAGCCTGCACTTGAGGCATTGAGTAAAACCTGGTCACATGATGCAGAAATCCATAGGATTACATTGAATACAGTACTTTCTTACGGGGAAGTTTGGTTGTGTGCGCATCGCTTATGGCACTTGGCATCAAGTCCCCAATGCTTCTCTGAGAAGCACTAAGTTGGACCATCGCTGATGGAGGCCACACCTCCTCAATGGCATTGCAGAAGACTCAGAGGTGAGCAGCACTGAGCAAGCCTCGGCACAGGAAAAAAGTAAAACTTTTTTTATAATTTCTATAAAACATGAATATTACTAGGGACAGACGCACTATAGCGTTAAGCATGCAGGATTGTGTTAACTCAGTGGTTTTTTGGGGGTTTTTTTTTTTTTCTTGTGTGACATTTCCTTTATAATAGTTGAGAAAGTTAGTTTGATTTTGCATCTTTTTCCTCATTACATCCACATATAATTAACATGTGTGTTTCCCTACTGCAGAGAAAAAAAGAAATCTAAACTTGACGAGTTTACAAATGACTTTGCCAAGGAACTACTTGAATATCGTAAAATACAGAAAGAGCGCAAACGATCTTACTCCAGGTAAGAGAGCGGGGGAGTGATTCGTTTTTAACGCTTAAGGATCAAACTTCTGAAATAAAAGGAAATCATGACATGTCATGTGTCCTTAAGGGGCTAAAGGGAAGTAAAAAAATCTAATTTCAAGTTGTATTAATCCACTTATATTTGGTTTGGGTAATATATATGGAAAATAAGGAATGCGAGAAAGGCGCACTCTTGTTGAGTTCATAAGGAATAACTACTGTATATTATATGCAAAATATTTATTATCTTGCTGGTTGCATCTGTGGATATCGGAGACCAATATTTGGTCAAAATAACATTGAACTATATTATCTTTGGAACACTATTCAGTCACTTGCAATGATTCCTATTAGTTTTTTTAGTCTTAGATTGTTAAATATAAAGATTCCCAATATAAGGGATTTAAAATGTAATAAAGAGGGCAAATTAGCTTAGTCAGTGGTGACATTTAAATGACCTTTTTACAAAACGATCAAAGTTTCTTTAAAACTTTTTTTTTTTTTAAGGTCAAAATCTCCATACAGCGGCTCATCCTACTCCAAAAGCTCCTCCTATTCCAGATCAAGATCCAATTCTTCAAGGTCACCTTCTTACTCCCGATCCTATAGCCGGTCACGCTCTCGTTCTTACTCAAGATCACCTTACCAGAGGAAGGTTTCCTCAAAGGGTCGCGCTCACCGCTCTAAATCCCGGTCTCGTGGATACCAACATTCCAGATCCAAGTCCCCATACAGACGGTACAATTCACGCTCCAAAACACCTCCCCATAGACCCCCATCACCAAACAAAAGAGTAGCTCCTCTAATGGAAAATGACCGGGAATATTGTAATAGATATCGTGAAATGCCTCCCTATGACATCAAGGCTTTATATGGCCGTCAACCAGACTTAAGAGATCCCTATGAAAGACAACGATTTAGAGAGTGGGAGAGAAAGTACATAGACTGGTATGAAAAATATTGTAAAGGGGTCACAATGAATGCTATGCCACGACAGAGGTCCCCTGTGAACCGGGAGAATTATTCACCAAATCGCTTCCCTGTTCCTCCACAAGCACGGAGAGATAATTCTCCATACAACCGAGGCCGAAGAGAAGATTATCCTCCTTTGTTACCACACCGTGGTCGTCCTCTTGCAGGGTCCTATCAAGAGAAAATGCTTCCACGTGAACCTCCTCATGGCATGAAGGATACAAACAAATTGAAAGAAAAAGAAGTAATGAACCCACCTTTAGACTCTAAAGGAAACAAACACAAAAAACATCGAAAGAAGAGGAAAGGGGAGGAAAATGAAGGCTTCACCAAGCCAGATATAGACAACCCACGGAAACACAGAGATCCAAATGCAGAAGATGGTAAAAGAAATGAACCCTTATTTGTGCCCACAAGCAAAGATGATGCCACCCCAGTAAGGGACGAGCCAATGGATGCAGAGTCCATTGCTCTTAAAGCTCTTACTGCAAAGGACAAACGAGAGAAGGCCAAGGGAAAACCTGAGAAAACAAAACGTAAGCTTGATGGTAACTTGCCTAAAAAGGAAACCACCTCCACCTCCAAGGTAGTCAAAATCGAAAAAGTAGTAGTTGATGTTGAGAAGGAAAAACTTGCTGGTGTTGAACCACCACCCAAGAAGCCAAAAGATGAGACACAAAAACTTGACAATGTCAAAAAGGATGATAAAACTGCTTTGCAGCCACGCAAAGTGCAACTTAAAGTGGTAAAGCAAAATCCAGATGACAAACAGGCGACAAAAGATGACAAAAGCAAGAAGGAGCCTTCAAAAGATGTAAAGCAGGAGAAACCTATCATCAAAGAGGAGAAGTCAAAGAAGGTTATAGATAAATCCAAAGTAAGCGAGGTCAAGCAAGAGAAACGAAAAAGGAAAGTGGATGAGAAGGTCCCAGGAAAGGAACAGGACAAAACCACTGTAGAAACCAGTGAGCCCCCCAAACCTTCCACCTCAAAAGTTAAGTCTGAAGTAGAGATTAAAAATCCTGAAAAAGTACCTGAAAATGAGAAGCCTACTGTTAAAAAAATTAAACTCAACCGTGAAACTGGAAAGAAAATAGCCACTGCTGATACCTCTGCAGTGACTGAGGAGGCTGAGGAGAAAAAGATGCCTTCTGCTGTGACCAAGTCAAAACTAGACCGGGTGAAGGGCAAAGTACGGAGGAAAGTCACTGTTCAAGATGGATCTGGCTCCACCTTGGTGGATTATACCAGGTGAGAGATGGCATTTATGATTACTTGTAACCATTTGATAGTTCCATGAGTGTGTGTTTTTGTATTGGTTTTTTTTTGTTTTTTTACATATTTACCTGTTTCTTATTTTTTATGCTTTCAACATCCATTCTGGGGGGAGGCAGGGCACTGATCTACACCAATCAGTGCCCTATCCCTAGGAATGCTGGAAAGGTGCATTGAGACATGCCCAACAGATTCCAACATGTGCAGTTGGAAGGTCTCTTCACCTTGCAACATCCTGACAGGGAGAAGAGGGGGAGTAGGGTCAGTGTGATCATGCAGAGCATACTGCGGTGTCTGATTTTTCACTCCTGCACAGCACAATGATGCTCATTTTTCTGCCATTAGTGAACTGGTCTGGAAGTGAGATGTGTAAGTAAGAAACTCCCCTAGGTGAGAGGTGTGCTCAAAATTGCAATCTGACCAAGTTTATAATAAGTTTATAAAAACTTATTACACACTTTTCAAAGTTTCTCAGCCTTTGTTAGTTCTATATTTGTTTAAATGTGGTTTTAAGTGCCGTTTTAATGACGATTTGGACCTGTGGTGGTGGGTAAACACCAATGACTTCCACTGAAAAATTGGCCATATGAAATGTTAAATAAATCCCATGTGTAATACCCTGGTTTATGCATTTACTAATGTATATGTGGCTTTATGGAGGCTGGTTTGAACAGAGGGGTGCTTAAGGATAACGTATATAAATGTTACTATGGCTTAATCCCCTCTTCAAATACATTGAATGCATCATATATCAGAGAGGCATGATGTATTCAGTGTAAAATATCAAACACTATAGTCACTCAGACCACTTGAGCTCATTGAAGTGCTCTAGGTGCAGTGACCCTGCCCGTAGTCCTGAAGTAATTACATTGCAGGGTTAAGACTTCCTGGTGGTTAGGCAACTTTTGGTTGCCTAAATGACGCTGGATGTCATAACGCTCTGTGTAAGGACATCCAGCATCACTAAAATTCCTATAGGAAATGCGTGCGCGCGCACTGGGGATGAAGTATGTATCTGTGCAGGTGCTGGGGATGAAGTATGTAGCTGTGTGTGTGTGAACTGCTGCAAATACACTTATCTCTACACTGTCTATGTATTTGTATGTGTATCAGTGTGTCTGTACCTGCATGTGTTGCAATGTTTGTATCTGTGTCTGTACATCTGTATGTCAATGTCTGTATCTGTATACCTGCATGTGTATCAATGTCTGTGCAACTGTATGTATGTCAGTATGTGTATCAAACACTGACACAGATACAGACACACACTGACACGCATACTTATGTACAGACATACTGATACGCATGCAGATACAGACCGAGATATACAAATACACACTGCCACACATGCAGATACAAACATACACTGACACAGATACAAACATTACCCACACAGTTAAACACAGATACACTACACATAGATGCGCGCACACTCATTACTCACACAGAGATACACATACAAATACACTACAGATAGATGCACACACCCCCTGTTTTAGATGATGACAGGGGTCTATGGACAGGCCAGCCTTGATTGTAGCAATGCTTTCCTATAGGGAGGGCATATAATGCACATTACCGCCCCCCGTCCGAGGACGGAGCGCCAAACCAGCATCAAGGGAGATCGGCATGAAATCGTTTAAGTACAGTAAGGGTTTATTAATCCTTACACAGCTGGTGGGCCATGGGGAAATATATTTTTAGGAATACACCTTTGTGTTTCTAGCACTGTAGTATCCCTTTAAGATTTATTCACCTTTATTCGAGCGGCACCATGTCCTGAGCTTTGTGGGTGTTGCTCTTCATATTACACCCATATATGGTCTGCCTACTGCCTGTGATATGCCATGCTTGTGAATACTCCCAAACCTCCTCCATGATGCGAACACCCTTTGTGTCACATATGCTTATCAAATTTATTGCAGATGGGTGATAGAATTCCTGCATGGAATGTGTCAGAGGCTCTACATAAATGTTTTTGGTATCTTCGTTTAAGAAGCACATAACTACTAAAGCCCTGCCAATTTTAGAATGGTTTGTCTTATTACCTTGAGTTCCACCAGGTGCTGCACCTCATCTCCAGTACTTCAGTCCGAGAGCCTGAAGCGCTCTACTTGAGCTAAGTTGAACTTGGCTCATAGACTGAGGGTGATTAGTTGATGGCTCTCCTTCAGATGTAGTAGAGGGAAGAAGTGCACCCAGCAGGTCCTCAGGTGAAAAGTCAAACCATTCTAAAAGGGTTTGAGTACTTACAATGGGCAAGTACTATAGTGGATATCATGCTTGCAGTGTTTCTTTAAAAAAAAAAAAAAAAAATTTACTCGTGCATAATGATTTTGGGTTCCGTGGCAGTCTTTGCTACTTAGATGCCTAACACAGTGAAAATTGTAAGCTTTTTGCTTTAAAACAGGAATGCTCTGTGTGCTAGTTAACATATAGTTTATTTAAGTGTTGGTGTATTCTTTGAGGCCATCTTACAGTTGGAAAGAAAATGGCACTCACGAGGACTGGACGACTTTAGGCATGCTTGTGGTGACTTTACAATCTGAGGATAAGTTTGTTCAACTCATAATTGCATTATCCTAATTTAAAAGGTAGACTTAACACAAGGTAATCTTAGTATTTTATTTTGGGGGACGAAGAGTTACTTATTTTCCAAATAAAATGTACCCTTTTCTTTTGATTTTCCGAATACAAGAAAGCCATTTTAGGTATTTTTTGATAATGATGATTCTAATACTTTGTCAATATTCCTTTTGTAGCACAAGTTCCACTGGAGGAAGTCCCGTACGAAAGGGAGAAGATAAACTAGATACCAAGAGAACAGTCATTAAGACAATGGAGGAATATAATAATGATAGCACTGTGCCTGCAGAAGATGTAATTGTAATGGTTAAGATTCCCCAGTCAAAATGGGACAAAGACGATTTTGAGTCTGAAGATGATGAGGCTAAGGATGCGCCGACTTTACCTTGTGCTGGAAAGCCGATGAGTGTGATAACAAAGCCTCTGTCTTCTGTTATTCTTGCTGATAAAGAAACTAGTTTATTAGAGAAGCCAAAATCGACCCGGGAACAAGGAGATGAGGGCTCGCCACTTGATGCCAAAACTTCAAAAGAATCCTCAGTTTCCCACACCAAGAGCAGGCTCAGTGGTAAAGATAGCCCTGTTGATGTGAAGGAAACATCTAACAAAAGAAAAGGAAGTTCCCAGGCTGACAGCAGCTCTGACCGGTCAGGTCAGCACTCTTCTAAAGAGAGGTCATCTGAGAAACCAGATTCTAGCAGAGGCTCTTCTAGTCGAGATTTCACTCCTAACCGTGATAAAAAGTCTGAGCGTTCAGACAGCAGGGATCGAAAGCTGGATCATGAAAGCAAATCTAGGGATAAAAAACAGGAACATGAAGCCCGGGACAAAAAAATAGACTATGACAAAGAAAAGGATAAAAAGGTTGAGCATGACAATAAAGAACGAGACCGCAGGCTAGAACACGAAGGCAAGGAAAAGAAGCCAGAGTATGATAGCCGGGATCAAAGCAGTTCAAAGAGGCGAGATGATAGAAGAAAGGACTCTCCTATTAGAGATACATCCTCAAGTTCCCAGAAATCTAGACCCAGGGATATACAGACTGAAACCTCTAGGAAAGGTACAGGTGAAATAAAAAGTAACCACAGCCCTTCACGTGAGCGGAAAGTAAAAGGCGATATAAAGGCTCCTGATGCTAAACGGGCACGTGTTGATCAAAAGCCATCAGAAAAATCCAGTACAAAAGAAAAGGATAGGACCTCGTACAAATCAAAGGGTGCCGAGGAAACCAGTGAAAATGTTTGTTCGAACACTAGACATACTTCACCAGACACACAAACTGACAAAGATGTTGGTGAAAAAGACTCCCACAAAACAAAGGTTCCTCTGAACCCCTCAACACGACTGTCAACTGACCTCACGCGAGAGACTGATGAGGCTGCTTTTGTGCCTGATTATAATGAGAGTGACAGTGAATCCTCTGTAAAACAGGAAGCAACCACATCCCAGGAACCTCAGGAAAACAAAAATAAGGACAGTGAAAGCACGGGCATTATGGAACCAGTTGACACAAACCTACCTGCCACGGCTCCAAGCAGCCCAAGTGAGAGCCGAAGCCCCAGCCCAGTTGATTCACAAACACACAGCCGCAGCAGTAGTGTGAGCTCTGTGGGGAGTCAGGACAGCAAAAAAAGAAAGCGGAAAAAGGAAAAGAAAAAACACAAAAAGCACAAAAAACACAAGAAGCATAAGAAGCATGCAGGGAATGAATCAGAGACTGAAAAAACAGAAAAGAGTCAGAAACACAAACACAAGAAGAAAAAGTCCAAGAAGAGCAAAGATAAGGAAACGGAGAAGGAGGAGGTTAAAGCCAAACCACCAGTAACTGAGTGAACTTCTCGAGCCCATCACCTCAATAAAGCAAAAGCCTTTCCCGTGTCCAAATGTATTATTTGTTCCACTGAAATGTAAACAAATGAGCTATGTAAATACTGGGAAACTGTGCCACACTTAATATATTGATTTGACTTTTACATCAGAGCTTTATAAAGTGATTGTTTTTGTACGGAACTGTGTGTTGTAAACATATTGCATTTTTTTTTTCCCCTAATTTTCTGGGTTTTGCATCTGTCCATCAGTTTGGGTGGAATTTAAATACTGTGAAAATCTTGCCCAATTGCCCTCCCCTACGAATGTTAATTGCCTGGTAATTAGAAACATGCACTGCCCTAAAGATTTGGCTCGACTGAACAGAAGAACTGGTAAAACAACTGTCCTGTTATGTCAATTTTGTTTTTTGTCACCAAATAACCAAACTACTTAATTTACAGTTCATTTACAACAACCGTGGAAATTCTACACGGTAACCCATGTAATACAGCATTGGGGCATCTGGAAGGATAAAACAACCCTGGTATTAATATTGCAGCATTTCCACTCTCCAAAATCCATCGGTGCAGTCAGCACTATCATACAGGGTATATTGTAAATGTTGGAAAGTCACTACTTAACTGCTCATATAAACCATAAATTGGCAACCAAATGTCAACCTCATATAGTGAGCTGGGGATTTCCAACATTTATATTTTCCACTTAGAAAACCAAATGTTTTGGGGTTTTTTGTATTGTTTTTCCCTCTCATCCTGCCAAATGCAAGCAGAAGATTGGAAATTAAACCCATAAATATAATTTTTTTCAGGGTTATTCACTAAAGTCTGAATTGTCTGAAATTATAATTGAATTTTAAGTTTTAGATCAGAATTGCTGAATTGAAGAGTTTTCAGTATGGCTGCTTAAACTTACAATTCACACTGAATTTCTGCCAATTCACAATATATTGAATATCCTTGCAAGTCCCATTGTACAATTTTCTGTATACTGTTGCTCTTATAAGCACAATGTAAGTATCCCAAAACAGAAAATAACATTTGCTGCTTCTGTCGAGTAGATTCCGCACACTGCATTAGCTAATGTTTTAGTCAAAAATTGCCTAGCTTTTACAAATATACTTGCCAACTTTTCAACATTTACACAAATGTAAAAAGGTGGCTTTTGAAAACTTGTTCTGTTCATTTTAAGACCGTTCTCATGTAAATCTTCTATTATGCCATTTTCTGTCCTAAAAGATTGCTTGGTGAGTGCTCTCTAAACAAATGTTATGTCTGTCTTTTCACAGAATAATTTCACAAGTGAGCAAAAAAATTAAATAGGCTTTGCTGCTTGAAAATTAGTATGGCTGCCCTCGAGAAGCCCATTTTCCTTTCTTACTTAAGAAATTCAGATTTTCTTTTTACAATTTGGATTTTTGGCAAACCCTGGGCCTCAATGTTCATTACACAGTTCAGAATGTTGCACATAATTAAAACACTGTGTTATCCTATGCAAAACCTCTAGCAATACACACAGGAGAGTGTTTGTTTGCATTTTGATCATAATAGCTGGATTTGCAGCAGGTTCAAATACAACAGTATGCATCATTTCCCAGGATTCCTAGAATACACAGTCAGCTTTTCCGTTGGCTCACTTATTGCAGTGAAAGATTTTTTTTTGTTTACTGTGAGTGTACACACTATGCCATGAGTTGTGGTGAGCTGGTGGCAACCTACTTGCAATATTTTAGATCCTTTCACAGTTGTAAACTGCTTAAGCCTAAATTTACAAATCAAATGTTTAATGCCAAAATATGGGGAATAAGGCAATGAAAGAAAGTAATCACTTTAACCTTGAGAGAGCATTGCCTTTATAAAAGATTATATGTTGGCTACTAAACTACATTTTAATACACCAATGCAGGCTGATTTGCTACCTAAATTTCTTTTTTTTATTTTTATTTTTTAAACATCTTTGGCTTGAGCTATCGTGTCCTTTTAAGTTTAATTGTACTTTCTGTATTTTTCAGTGATAAAGTACACTATTCAAACCGTTATAAAACAGAAAAAAGTCAGCTAGAGATTGTATCGGCCATATTGGAATGGGATTCGCTCATGATTGAGTTACAGAGGCACTCTCGCTTTTCATTGGCTGTTGTACTATCAGACATGTCATACAATAGCTGATAGAAGGGACTGCCTGTTTAGTGCAGGTGATGCAGTTCTCCTCTTAACAGTGATCTTTGCCAAAATTTAGGAACCCTATATATTTAAGAAGTAAATATCCAGTGAGACTGAGCAGTGTTCAAACTAATCTATGCCTGGAACCTTTGAAGACAGAAGCAGGGCAGTTTTTTTGTGTGTTTTTTTGTTTGTTTTAACTGATAATTTTCACTGGCAGTTGGCACTATGCAGTGATGGCGTACAACGCGATATGCCCCTTGTCTGAAATATAACATTCTGTGCACATATAAAACAGGCAACCCTACCTCAAGTGATGTAAAAAATATTTTCCCCTTCTTGTAAATAAATGATAATTGAACTAACTCTTGTCTATTCTGGATTAAATTAGTTAGAATTGTGTGCTTTAAAATTATATATTTCATACATGCAAAGGTTATTAAAGTTGTATATAAGAAACCACAAAAACTGATTGTTTGCGTAACGGCTGAACCAAAACATAAAAAAAGACAAAACAATGCTTGTGGAACAATGTGTTCCTTTGTTTGAGATGCATCTTTACTATAGTCTTTGTATTAACCAAATCCCACCTTGTATGTAATTTGGGCTGGAACTCCAGTAATTGCCTACATCCATAAAGAGTCATTTGGAGCGAATATATAATGTATTGTTAAATGAAAATGTGGCCTGACATTTGCAACGTGACAGTTTTAATTACCTTGGTCCATGGCAGGTTATTCAAGAAGAAAAATTAAAGCCCATTAGTAAGAATGTAGTGATTTATGGCATGCATATTGTATTCTGCTGTAAGGCTTGGAACATGTAGTTTAAAAGTCAAAAGATAGTGGTTTAAGTCCGTTTAGGGAAGAAATGCCATGGGACTGGCAAAATAGCAGAGTATGAGAAATGTCCTAGTTCACGGTCATTGACCTAAACATTTAAAGTCCCACATTAGTGATAGTTTCTTCAATCAGGAAGTTGTAGTCACGTGGAGGCTGCAAGATTTTATTTTTTATATATATGTAATTTACCCAGCCAAGAGAGCATTCTGTTGCAAAACTGTTTGCCCCATTAGTGTTGATGGGGGCCAGGGTCTTCCTGGAATAACTACAGCGGGCTGTATGGAATAACACTATGAAATAACCCACTGAAATACTTCAGAAATAAATTCTAACTAGCTATATACCTTGTCCCAGTGAAATCAAATTATTGGTTTCATGTTACGTGTGCGGTTTTATCAAGCATATCTCTGCTATAGTCTGGGAAAAGGTTCAAGTTCAGTTATTCCAGTTTCTGCTCTTTTAGTGTAAATATATACACCACACAATTTTGTCACTTCAAAGTGGCTTTTGACATTTATTTGACCACTGTCCTTACATGATTTAGAATGTGTTGTAGACGATGTGAGTTTGATTCTTTATACATACCTAAGGCTTATTTCAGATTTTCGACAACAAATAAAAATCACACCTGACTTATCACGATTTGTAAGACCAAAGTGTATTATCTGAAAAGTGGCAAAATTTCCTTTAAAGCCCTTGAATCCAGGTTTGTGTTGAGTGGGTATTGATTCTATGAAGATGACAGAATTGTACATTTCTCTGCATTGCTTCTCTAATCCCAACCCCGTAGGTTAGTCATGTCCTACCAGTGGTAAAATAAATGGTTCCAAAATAAAACGTAAATGCTTATTTTCAATGGGCCTACCCAGCTTGGCTTCAAACACAACAGGACCTTTCAGTGAGAAGTGGACAGTGGTTGTAACCAAATAAAAAGATTTGAGAATTAAAAGATGTTTTCAAAATGTATTTTGTTCCTGAACTATAGAAACTAAATTGGAAGGTCTGACTATTTATATGGTAAGTCTTGTTAGCTTCATTGTCAACCTTCACAATTTTACAACTTTATAAAAGTCCATATATATTTCAGACATACATTGGGCAAGGTTTATTAGTCCACACACATTACATTTCCAGGAGCCAGAGAGGAACCAAGACCAAACAAAAAAAATAAATAATAATCTGTCTCACAGACTCCGTGCTGGTGGCTATGGCTTTATACAAATGTGAACATTGACGTGTTATATTGGGTTCACTTTATCCCACATATGTGGCCTGGCATTTGTACCCGCAGCAGACAATAGCTAGGTCAATTTCCATTGCTACTGGCTTACACGTTCTTCTGTTAAGTTTGCCTTAGGGGATTATACCTATGGCCTCCAAATGGCACTCCCTCATAAGTACTGGGTAACACTGAGCTAACATCCTGCACCACCAAGGATTGGGATATGGTTGAAAGACCTGTGCCATATTGAGAATTAAAAACCTTTCCATTCGTAATTTCCCGGTTATCTAACAGTCCTAATTTAGGCTAAGCCGATATTTAACTGGATTTAAAGAGGGGTTGATTTACACTACCACACCATTATTTTGAAAGTGAATTTATTTGTTCCCAACCATGTAGTAACCCAATCTTTATGCTCAGTAACACCTCTTTGTCAGATAAGGTAAATCAACTAAAGATAGCCATGATACAAACACCAAGGGTACAAACTAATGTTTTTTTCTTAAATTCTTTGTTTGCCCTATTTTGGGTGATTTTTTTCATAATTTGCTCTAATTGGATAACTTGAGAGTGTAACTTTGCTAGATGTCACTTTTTTTTTTTGCCAATACCTTCATTTTAATATTTGCGTGTCATGCAGTAATAGTGGGGCATTTAATGGAAATACACTAAGTTGCAGTTTGCTGCTTTTTGAATCACTTATCAGCCCCATTGATATTATGTATATGTTCTGTCTCAAGCTGACCAGCCTTTGTAACGAAAAAACTGTGTACAACAACAGGATTTATTACAGCAACAATCGGCAGAGGGCGCTGCGGCACTATGACTCCAAAGCGAGAGCTAAAATGTTATTCTCTGTTCTCAAATATAATTCAGCATCTGTTTGTATTCCACCAAATCTGATAAGGTGGATAAGAAAGTTTGCCTGTAAATATGTGACACAAGTTTACAACACCTTTTGAAAAAAATAAAATAAAAAAACCTAATAACATCCCCTGTACACTGAGCAGTGAAACCTGGAATGTGACATGTTTCAAACCTGTTTGGAATAAGTGTGTCGTTTTTAGAAGTGTGGTTCTAGACAACCATAACACAATTTGCTAGAAAACCAATAGAAATGATGTTAACAATATTCTTATTGTCAATAGCGATTATGAACATATGGCACATCTAGTAAATTAATTTTTATGATCTCCCCGCCACCCAATACCTTAGTGTTCAATCCTAAATGTGGTAAGTTATATATAAGTTAAGACGTGATAAACTTTCCAGAGCTATTGAAAAGTGGGAAAAAGATCTTCATACACAAATAGAGGAGGAAAGTTATTTTAATAAATTATATAAATACGTTCACTGTTTAAATTTGACAGATTTGCAGTTTAAACTTTCGAATAGATGGTACTTAACACCGAATCTTTTAAATAAAATATACCCAAATACATCCGATAGATGCTGGCGGTGCAATACAGAAAGGGGCACTTTATTACATATATGGTGGTACTGCCAACCGATGTATATTTATTGGAAAGATATAACTACACTAATTGACTTTATGACAGGAAATAAACTAGCAATGGAGCCGGGAATAATTCTATTAAATTTAAATAAGCCAGAAATGAAGATAAAGGATTCAATGTTAATTTTACATATCACTGTGAATAGAGTAAGGAGCACAACCATAAATCTTTATATATATGAAAAAAATCTTTATTAAATGGGTATATACTGTAGGACTGTCTCTTTAAATATTATCCACAGAGGTACAAAGTCATGCTATTCAAAAGCATTTACCAGAAAAGCAATGATATAGGCAAATATAAACGCTCAATGCGTAATAAATGAATGAAAGAAATATCATGCAAACAGTCCACTATAATACTAGTATAATGAAAACCCAGACATATAAAAAAATGCAGCAAACCATACCAAATTCAGTGAGAAGTAGGGACAGAGTCAATCAAAAAAAAAAAAACAACGTTTCGGCTGAACGTTTCGGCTATTGAAATACCACAACTCCACCCAAACACCCTCCTGCCCGACGGGTTTGGAGTGTATTCATCTTTAAGGCAAATGACTGTAGCACACTTATCTACAGCCATTTTCTAAATAACTAAGGGTGAACATTTAATCATAATTTCTGTTATAGATATACTCGATTGTCCTAACCCACTAACAAAGCCGTGGATCCACTTTCATATCATTGAGGAATAATTATTTTTTCTTTTTTTTTTACACCGTAAAACCGTCTCATGTGGTTTTTTCACAGTTGCAAATTTATCCATGTTTCTGTTTAGCTGACCTTTACATTTAGGATGATTTTTTTTTTTTTTTATCCATTTGGAAAACTTCAAATTACTACCGAGACAATGCGGACTGCTTTTATTATATACTAATGTGCGACTGGTTTTGTAGCTGTAACTGCACTGAAATATATTTTAATTTAAAAAAATCAATAAATAAGTAGAAGTCTCGTTAAGATTTTTTATTATGATCCACATGCTCTTTTTTTGCTAAATTCCCATTTCTAATCTGAATTAATTGATTGTCTAAGTCTAGCAGGATTCTAATTAATTTTTCTTGCTTGTCCTGTTAGATTCTGTCAGGTCTGCGTTTGTGAAGCACAAATCTATCTGTGGAAAGTGACATTTATACAGATGGAAATTTCCCGCCTGTCCTGCTTGCCATCTTTCTCCTATTTATTGCACTAATCTAAAGGCAGCTCAAAAGTACTGGCTTTTATTTTTATATGAAAATATCACCATTTATTTTCTATTAATATATGTTTATTGGAATGACTTTAAACAGGACTTAAAATGAAGGAATTTATATAGATAATTTGGAGAAGACATAAACAGGGATAACAGAGTGACAGGAAACCAACTGACAGAGTCAGTCAGACCCAGAATGTGTCAGTTAATAATAGAGTCTGCAGACTTCTTTGATAAACTGTCCTTACTAGTCAGGTGTGCTCGAGCAGTATTTTATAGCTGCAGCGCCACCTAGTGTTGGAGTCTGGGAAGTACACTCAAATGACATGTTAGGGGGGCAGCATCTGTACTCATTGTTAAACCATCTACATGTTAACCCCTTAAGAACACATGACGTGTGACATGTCATGATTCCCTTTTATTCCAGAAGTTTGGTCCTTAAGGGGTTAAGGGAGGTCATTCCTTTCCCGCACCCTCACTGGGCAGATATTCATACTCTCATTTTTTTAATTTATTTTTTGTACGAAAATTGGCACTCTCACCCTCTGGGGACTTTACCGAATTCGCAAAGACCCCCAATGATGACATTGCTCCTTGTGGCTGGGGGGGGAGGGGAAGGGATGCAGGAAAAGGGGAGATTTTACTAACCCGACCCTGTCCCTCGCAGGCACAGCCATCAACTGAATTGAGGTCTATGGTCTGGTTATATATTTACAGAAAAGGGGTGCACTAATGGGTCTTCTGAATTGTATACTTATTTGTGCAACAAAAATGTTAAGTTTTTACCCTTTTAGGGTCTTTTCTAAGGTCAAACGTTAGGTTAACAAGTGCAGAAATATATAAATAGAAAAATAGCGGGCCAAGAGATTACTGGAAGTGTAAATGGAATCACCTTATTATGGAGAAACATGAAGTTAGGAAGAGCTTACAGTGTTGCTAGGAAACAAAAACAACATTCTACTAATTGGGTCTATAAACATTATGTTTCACTTTATTTATTATTTTACATTCCCCCCAGGAGGAAAAGAGAAATCAAGTGACTAAACAACAAAATGAGTTATACAGAGTGTGAAGTGATGTGTGCGCTGAAACAATGAGTGTATAACAGTGAAATAAAACGATGATAGCCTAGTGTTAACGGGATTCAAATCTGAAAAGTGTTAGCTGCGTGTGTTGCAAAAGTTTGTGATTGAAATAGAATGTGACTGTGCACAAACTCAGCAGATTTGACACTGATGCAAGATGCTAGCATACTGCACTGTGCTGCCAGTAGTTTGTTAAACCTACAACCTATGACATCACAATACTTTAATATATGCATGGGGAAATATAACAAAATGAAATTGTTAAGTAAACAAAACTTCCACATTTAAAACTGAATAAATTAATAAAATTAGTTTAAATACAATTAAAGAGACTCTGTAGTCACCAAAACAACTTAAGCTTAATGAAGCAGTTTTGACGTACAGATTATGCCACTGAAGTTTCACTGCTCAATTCACTGCCATTTAGGAGTTAAATCACTTTTGTTTCTGTTTATGAAACCTCGAGTGACTGTGACTGACACAGCCTGCTGAAAAACAAAATGATTTTATTTTCAATCAGATAGTAACTTACTTTAAAAGTGTTTATCTCCTGCACTGTAAATGTAACTTTAATTACATACAGGAGGCCCCTGCAGTAAGCTATTAACAGAACAGGATATAAGACAATTCTAACTTTTCTATAACGGAATTGTAAACATTAGATGACTCTTTAAAGGAAGTGTTTCGGAAGGCTGTGTAAGTCACAAGCAGGGAGGTGAGGCTAGAGCTGCACAAACAAAGTAATTTAACTCTTAAATGGCAGAGTATTGGGTAGTGAGTTTGCAGGTGCATGATCTATACACCAAAACTGCTTCACTAAGCTTAAAGGGACACCCCAGGCACGCAGACCACTTCTGCCCATTGGAGTGGTCTGGGTGCCAACTCCCACTACCCTTAACCTTGCGAGTGCAATTATTGCCGTTTTTTATAAACGGCAATAATTACCTTGCACGGTTAACTCCTCCTCTAGTGGCTGTCTACTAGACAGCCACTAGAGGGCACTTCCGTGTCTATAGCACAGGTTTTCTGTGCTAGAGTGTCGCTGGACGTCATCACACTGTGTGAGGACCTCCAGCGTCGCTCAGTTCCCCATAGGAAAGCATTTAAAAGCATTTTCAATGCTT